GTGAGATCCTATTTTATGAAACATAAATAAATAGTTATTAAGAAAAAATGTAGCAAAGATTCTTTCTTCAAGGTGCTTGGGAACAAGATAATTGTTCCCAAAGGAGATGTATACTTAATTAGATTTTAAATCTTATGTAGGATTTTAGTAGGTGAAATTAAACAAACGAGGGGCTCAGAGACTGAGAAATCTCAGAGGTAGAAACTTGGTTTAGAGAATGAGGGTGGATGGGAACTTGCAATCCAAGTTGGACTTAATCCTGAGAACTTGAGGACAAATCATGAGTTAGAGGTTTGAGTAGATCAAGCACTTCCAGATAAATTAATTCAGAGCTGAGAAACTTGCCAAGAATAACAGAAGCATCCTTTAAGATGTCACTTACTTTTATTTTATATGTAGGCATGTTTTGCCTACATGTATGTAAGCATACCATCTGCATGTCTATTGTGCATGGAAGCCAGAAGAAGGCATCAGATCTCCTGGAATGGGAGTTAAGAATGGATGTTGGATGCTGAGATTGGTGTAGGCCCTGAACTCAGCTCCTCTCCAATAGCAGCAAGTGTTCTTGACCACTAAGCCATCTCTCCAGCCCCAGGAAGCATCTTTTTAAAAAAAAATTAAAGAGTTATTGTTACGTGTGAGGATTTGGATCCATTCTGCAGTCAGTGAAATGCCAATTGTGCTGGACAGCTTTAGTTGTCAGCTTGTCACACGTGGGTAGAGGGAGCCTCAGCTAGTTAATTGCCTCCATTGCACAGTCCTCTGGCCATGTCTGTGGAACATCTTCTTGATTATTGAGTCATGTGGGAGGGTCTAACCCACTGTGGGGGCTGCAACCCCTGGGCAGCTGGGTGTATGTTGTTTAAGAAAGCAAGTTGAGCACGGACCAAGGGAGCAAAGTAGTAAGCAGCATTCCTCCATGGCCTGTGCTTTAGCTCCTGCCACCATGTTCCTTCCTTGAGTTCCTACCTTGGGCTCCCTGATGCATTGTGACCAGAGAGATGTAAGAATAATAAACCCTTTCCTCCCCAAGTTGGTATTGGTGGGAGTGTTTTGTCACAGCGATTGGAAGCAAATTAGAACACAAACAACGGCTTGAGCTGACTGGCAATAGCGTTGTCTCTCACATTCCACCTAGACGTGTTTGATACGTGGAGAGATGAGAGTGGAAAACCAGCTTTTCCTTTCTTAAGGAATTGGGTGCCTTGAGGCTGTTTACTGAGCTCTAGGCCTCAGAATAAACAAGCTACTTTTAATAATGTTTTGTAATCATTATTCTTGTTGTGTTCCTCCACATTTTTTCTTAATGATTAGTGTTTGCCTTTTCCTTACTAAAATTTTTATCTCTGTGCCCAATTTTTTATCTGAAAGAGTAGGAATAAATGCCTCTCTAAACTAAAATGAAGATAAGTTATGGGTGTGCCACTAAATACAGTGTGCCAGACTCCCACTTCTGGCTGTGAAGGAATGGTTCACATGGTACACACCCTCCTCCTTTACACAACTAGGAAACACAACAGAATATAGGAAACCACTGTTCTGAGACTGTAACAGTTGGCACTCCTTTATCACAAAAGACTTCTTGGTTCCTTTCAGTAGACTAGCCTCAAATCGTTTTAAACACTTTGTGGTTTATATATTGAAATTTAAAAAGAATTATTTATAGTAGTCTTTGGGATTGGTTTCTGGATTTTATTGAATTGCCTTCATTTGGTATAACAAATAGAAATATTTCTTTATATGACTTGGAAATTTATTTTCGAGAAATAACCAATTATACCTAAATTCATTGTAAATAGATTTCATTAAAATTATTTTTTCAGATACTGAAGATATAATTGAATGTTTACCTGCAGTTCTAATCCAAAATGTGAAATGATTGCTAACACTTGAAGATACAAAGTTGATCAACATTAGCATTTAAAATGTCTTATGCTGCAGATTGATGTGGCTGTATGTCAGCTATAGATTATATTAGATGCTGTATTTTAAGATTCAATCTTTAGCCTGACATGGTAGCCCACACCTTTAATCCCAGCAATAGAGAGGTAGAGATAAGCAGATCTCTGTGTGACTTCAAGTCCAGCCTGGTCTACATACTGAGTTTCACTCCAGCTGGGGCTACACGGAGACCCTGTCTCAAAAAGACCCCTCCAAAAATTCTGTCTTTGACAAATTGACAGAGGAGTTTACTTGTCATTACTTCTTCTAACCCTTACTAGTTCACAAGAAGATACCTAAACCTCTATCATGTGATGGCTTCTAACCAAAAAGACAGCTTGAAATTTGAGATGTTCACAGCTAGTGACAGAATTCCACTGTTCTTGTAGGATCACTATTGCATTTTGGATTTCACTGTTTAGTAGAATACTCACACATTGTTGTCATTCCTAAGCACACACTTTCAAAGATTTTAAATTTCTATTTGTAGTTTAATTATCAGGTAAAAATTTATGTAAGTAAATACCTGAATAAAAAACCCATTATTCTCTTTACCTGAACAATAAGCAAACATAATTTTAATTAGGTGTGTATACGTAGTGGCTTGCTAGTTCTGAAGATAAATTACCTGTATTATTTCATGTAGATACACATACTCAGTGCTAGGATTTTTTGGATGATGTATAGTGAATGAAAGGCTAAAAGACCTCAGAACTGTTAGACCATGTGTCAAAATTCTTCGAAGAGAAAATTACAAAACCTGTAGGTCATGGTTGCTGTGGTAATGTGGAAAATAAAGACAATGGATGAAGATGTCAAAAAGCATGAGCTGAAGATTACAGGCACAGTGTCAGTCAAAAGTAGTTCTAGCAAGTTCAGAAGCTGTTAGAAATGAGTGTGTTAAAGTACTGAATGCTTTGTCATCTTGGAAGAGCATTTCAGGAAGAGATAAAAGGGAAGAATTGGAGATTTTCTTTTTGAGTCATTGTTTGTGATGTTCAGAAATGCAAAGACTTTACTTGTCTCCTGTTTCCCACAGAAACCCCAGAGTTCATACAGCTTGTTCTTTTTTAGGGTTGAATCCAAAGTATCCCTCACATAGCTGGAAAACCAGCCTGAGTAGTTGTCCTTTTGTGTAAACATACTTGAGATACAGCACTAGTTATTTTATGTTTAAAGTTCTGAACACAGGATGAGATTTGAAAAGGTATATCCAGTAAATGCCAGACACCATGCCTTGAGTAAACACTCAATACTTTTCCGTTTGTCTATGCAAAGCTTGGCATCTGTCCAGTAAGACACATGTATGCAACAGATGGTAAAACAGAGGGAGGGTAGCAACTGCTGGAGGGTTAAGAAGCGAAGCTGTGGCTCATCACACGTAGGAAGATGAGATGAGAGAGAACGTCTAGGAGCTTCACCTGGATTACACCATGCGGAGAGGAGTCTGCACAGCCGAAGATCAGAAGATACTTGTTAGCAACTCGGGAGATGCCTTTACTCTAGTACATCTTGAACTTGAGGAATAGCAGATGAGGCCACAGTGGAAAATACAGGCTAAGTCAGAAATAGCCTTTCAACCCAGAATGCAAGTTTTGAAGACATAAGGACTTGTTGAAAAGTGTTGTCATTAGCCTGCCTTGCTAAAATTAGTGTTCAGGTATTAGTGAGGAGTAGAGAATAAAAAGTAGACCCAGAAAGGAATTCTTTTAGGGGTTTGGTGACCTAAAGGAAACGTAGAAGTTCTGGAAGAGGACTATTAGACGATCAGACAAGATGAATATTTAAGGGAAGCAGGATAACAAAAATTCTGTCTAAATTTGCTTGGAAGTGATTGGCAGGAGATAACAAGCTATGGTAATGAATCCTAAACCTCAGATAAATCTTTAATTTGGGGTGGGAGAAGTGGAGAATTATGGTTCTTTGGTATGACAAGAGAGAAAGTTTCCACATTCCTGTTGTGCACGAAGGTGAAGGTGTCCCAAACCAAAGTTTCTTAGCGTGCTTTAGGGTATAGTTAATAATACCTGGGCTATGATCTTCTGTAAGCTGCTGTTAGTCTCATTTCCCCAGCGGTGAAACAGGCAACGTATCTAAGTTACAAAGGAAGTAAATGGCACAGCTAAATTTTGAGTTTAGAATGTCTGATTGCACTTCCCACACTTTATTTATTTATTTGTTTTTTGAAATAAGGTCTTGCTATGTAATCACTCTTGACCAGAAGCTCGCTGTGGAACCTTTGCTTACCTTGAACCTGTGATCCATCAGCCTCAGCCTGCCAAGGACTTGAATTACAGACATATGCCACCAAACCTGGCCCTGCAGTCACTATTGATTTCAGTAGGATGTCATTTATGAAGGCTGGTTCTAGCCTAGAGATCTTGATTGGGGAGGTACTTATTTGCCCAGGATAGATGAAACGACCACACCAGTGATATAACTCTGGATCATCCATAGGCTTTGTGGGGACACTGAGGCTATGCTTGGTATTCAGAAAGAGGAAGTGAGATTGGGTTGGGGCCTAAAGTAATTGTCCTCTAAGGATGGGAATCACAAAAGAAAAACCAGATTACATGGGTTTTTTTATTGAAAAATTGAATTTTTGTGACGCTCATACAATATATTTTGATCATATTTAGAACCCCCTTCTGCATCCCCACTTAGTATCCCTCATCCAATTTCATGTTTTCTCAGATAGATAGATAGATAGATAGATAGATAGATAGATAGATAGATAGATAGATAGATAGAAAGGTAGATGATAGAGAGATAGATATGACTGTCAAGTCAGTCAGCAATTCTGTAATCTTTTTTTTTAAACAGAAATAGATATTTAAAAACACATGATGTTTTCCACAGTGGCTTTAGTTCAGTTATTGAGAGACATAATTGGAGACAGCAGAGGGACTGAGAGGCACCCGGTGGTGGATGGAAGGCAAAGGAAAGGTTTTTCTTATGATGTGTGAGACAGGATCACATTTGAATTTTAGGATAATTTGTGTTAAAGTAATTTTAAGAAAAATGAAATTATAATTTGACATGCTTTTTAAACTTCACAGAACGTTGTACATCCATGGGCATACCAAGTTGGATTTCACAGTCTGGCATACTGCAATCGAAAAAGCAGCAGGTACAGATGGTAACGCATTACAAGATCAGCAGCTCAGCAAAAATGACGTTCCCATTATTGTGAACAGCTGTATAGCATTTGTTACACAGTATGGTATGTATTGCAGAATTTTTATTCAACTACTGGAACTCATGGTATCATTCTTACAGTTTCTAAGTGGTACCTCCATTGTAATGAATTAATGCCCTTGATGTAAGTACACCAGTGAAAAATACAAGCACTGTCACTGCTCAGTCAGCTACCATCCCTTCTCCCAACAGCACTCATTTAGACTGCTAGCACCTTCTTACCAGACCCTGTTCTTCATATATATTAAAGTACTCTGTGGCCTATTGAAGTGGCATAGCACAAGTGTTCAGAAAGTATGAAAGACTATGGTTTTCAAAGCTGGTAAGCCTAGAACAAAACCAAGCATCGCTCACCATGCTTAAGTGTGTTTTTAGAAATGGTAAATAGTGGAGTGGTGTGGAAAAGTGCACTGCTAGCAAACCAGAGCGTGTGCACACGCATGTGCATTCATTTCATCCTACATACTATTGGACCAAAGTTCATATTAAATATAGTCATTAATTTTAGTGACTTTTGCTTATTTGCAACAGATACTTTTCTAAACAAATGAAATGACTCGATCTATACTTAACGTGGTCCAGTTTCATTTTAATTTTTACACGATATTATGGGTTTTCTAAATATACCTAAAAACTAAACTTTTTTCTTCATATTTTCAATTTATTACAAATTCGTTTTGGTTACATACATCTTTCATATTTCTAAGTGATAGAGATTTCTTAATGTAGTTTGCTTGTTTTTGTGGTAACAGCATCAAACCTAGCTGGGCTATGTTCTAACACTGACCTATTACTTCTGAAGTTGTATTAACTTTTTTTGTTCTCTTAATATCATAGCTATTGGGGGTGTTTTAATTTGAAGACACAAATAGTGAAATGCACATAGTAAACTATTATGTTATTAAGAAATATGGCAGTGATATTGAACAGTTAACCTGGATCACATGTTCTAGTATACTGGACTGGTGACAGGCTGACATATAATAATATGTCAGAGATAAGTACTCAGATGAAAATAATTTTCAAAGATTAAATTCGTAATTTGTGAATTTATATTCTTTTGGAGAGAGTGTGTTCTTAAGTATTTTATTTCAAATATAATTTAAGTACAGTTATTTTTCTTCAGTATTCATTATATTTTTACTGTATGTCCATTGAAAGTGTGTGTATGATCACCTGTGCAGGCTTTTTCTATAGGGAGTTCTTGGCTCCAAGAGCTCATTTGTATTTTTCTTATCAGCTGTAGTCCTGTTTATTTGCAAATAGGGGAAGTGGAAGGTTATCTTCGTTTATTATAGTCATTCAGTGGTAGCATACTTGCATCTCACAGGGATAAATGAGTTGCACCCACACTGTGTTTTAGCAAGAGCATGACCTCATTATGTTAGTTTCGTAGTGGCATAGGGTCTTTCTTAAGCTGACAAATGATTAAAATAACTTGACTGTCTCTAAAGTAACCAATTGAATGTTTCTCTAGGGAAATCACAAGTTTCCTTTTGCTGTTTATTTGAATTTGAATTCATTAAGGACCAGATTGTTTTCACCTACATCTCATATTTTTTAATGGCTTTATAATTCTCTAACTCAAAGTGTATTAAGTTCCACTTTAAAGCAATGATGCCAATAAAAGATTGTTTATATATTTTTAGTAGAATATGGGCTAACACCTCAATATCACTCACTCACATCTATTACCCTAAAAATTTGATAAAGAACTTGGAAACTGCTCAGTGCTCACAGGATGCAAGTCATTTTGTGTATGTCTGTGTATGTGCTCTCTGTGTGTATGTGTGTAGGCATGTGTGTGCCACAGCATCCATGTGGAGGTTTGACAACAACCTATAGGAGTTGCTTCTCTCTTTCTACCTTGTGGGTCTTAGGATCGAATTCAGGTTATCAGACCTAGCAACAGCGTGTTTACCCATTGATCCATCTTGCTGGCCATATATTCAAATTTTTATTCAGTTTACTGAATTTATCTGAGTATTAAATATTAGATATTCCTTCAGTTAGGAATGAAATATCTCAAATACATCATTAAAAATTTCTTTGTGTAGGATATACTTATCTTTGCACTAAGTAGTCATTTGTCAAATGTCTTGTGAGTTTCCAAATGTATATAGCTACCAATTATATGAAGAAAATAAGATTTAATGTTTGCCTTTTAAGAGCTTATCAAATTGTGATATAGAGACATGCAGATAGGCAGGTACTTACATCTTAGTGTATAAAATGCTGTGGTAGAGAAGTTCATAGTTGCTACAGTATTCATAGTGTACTGGTTAATTTCCCCAGAATAGGGGATGGAGTAGGCAGCCTCATGATTGCCTGTTTGGGGAAGCTTATGTAGTTCCATGTACCCAGGATGTAGTGCTAGAAGAAAGGATGCACACCAGAGTCAGGGAGTTAGCCCAGCTCCTGGGGATTTTTAAAGTATGATCACAAAATTCTGTAAATTTGCCTTAAAGACATTAGGAAGGCAATGTCCAGATTTTTTAGGCTTCCTGGTAACAAGACCAATTGACCTGCATTTTTTGCCACACTGTCAGCATTGTGTGGACAAATTGTAGGCCTGCACAAGAATAGAGACAGGGAGCTACTTACCACAGCTAGGAAGCCAGTACACCAAAAACAGCATATGTGTGAAAAGAAGAGGAGCAACTTGAAAATGAATTTATGACATATTTTAATGTAGTTAGAAAGCTTCTGACTTGGGGCTGGAGAGATGGCTCAGTGGTTAAGGGCTCTGGTTCTTCTTGGAGAAGACCCGGGTTCATATCCCAGCACCCACATGCCAGCTAATGATGGTCCGTAACTCCAGTTCCGGGGGATCCCATGACCTCTTCTGTCCTCTGCATGCACTGCAGGACACTGATGCACTTACATACATGCAGGCAATACACTCGTACACATAAAATAAAAATAATTTTTTTAAAAGAAAGGTTCTGACTTGTAAGAAGGTGAGAAGGGATGCCGTATTTTAAGATTGAGGAAGATTTAAAAGATGTAGATTAGAAGGTAGACTTGAATGGGCAGAAACATTAATTTCTTTAGAGTTTTGTGGCTTCCCCCTTATATGTGCGAGTATGTGAGTGATACGTGTGTCATTCTGTGTGGTGGTATATATGTAATGGCTGATATATCTAGATCTCTGTGTGTGTGAATTAAACTGTAGGAATTATAACCCAGTTAAAATCAGATATATAGTATGTGGTAGAATAAGATGGGGTGGGTTCAACCAGGGAAATTTCTAAAGGAGCAAAATGAAAATAGAAGAGAGGAGGAATTGCTGCAATCCGCAAAGGCTAGAGAAGCAGCATCAATAGAATAACTGGACAAATCGCCACAGAGGGAAAGGAAAAGAATGTGAGATCATGGTACTATAAAAAGATGTGGGACTAACAGAATGTTGGTGGGGATTGTGGGGGATTGTCAAATGTGTAAGCTGTTCTCCTTAGCTCAAAATTGAGAGGCAACTAGACAGTACCGTGAATATTCTTAATTATGGTGATTCAGAAACAAGATTGTAGAGGGAAAGACTACATGGGAAAGTGAGATTATAATAAGAAAAGATTTAGTGAACTCAATTTGGTTTGAAAGGGAGAAGGACCTGGAAGGGACCTGGGAGGATTTGTGTGTATATCGCCACCACCATCAGCACCCCTGTTCTGCTACTAACCATAGTTATTTATATGGGGCACGTGATGAGTCAGCAACTTGGAAATCTTGGGGAGAAGGTGAAGGTAGACACAGAACAAAACTAATAGGCAAATATGTTGCTAGAGGTTGAGATAATGGCTACCATAATTATATACCATCTTCTCAAAATATAGGCAAGTTGTATTCCTAGGGACTAAGGAAAATGTCACTTTAGGTAAAAATACATCAGGACATTGAAAATACTAAATAGGGATCTGTTCTGCTCATCATCCCCAATTAATAACATTTTCTGCTCATAAGCATGAAAGTAGATTATGAATGCAGATGTTTTTATATTTTAAACAAAGGTTTAGGATACAAATATATTTATCAGAAGAATGGTGATCCATTGCGCATAAGTGAACTTCTGGAGAGTTTCAAAAAGGATGCCAGGAGTGTTAAGTTGAGAGCAGGAAAACATCAACTTGAAGATGTGACGGGTGTGCTGAAAAGTTTTCTCTGTGACATGGACGATGCACTTCTTACTAAGGAGCTCTATCCCTACTGGATCTCTGCATTAGGTAACGCTTATGATTTAGAGCTTAATAATGCCTGCCTTCCGATTTAATAATTGGAGATTTTTTGAGTGTTTGATAATCTACAAATTGATGACTCTTGTTTCTCTTGTCATTTACCGTACCTCTTATTAATAAACTGAGAGAACTTTTTTTTTCATTTTCTCAGGATTCCATTTAATGAGGTAAAGAAGTTATGTTACACTGTATGAGAACTTAAGAAATGAACCTATTAATAGAAAAAGTTTAATTCATTCATTGAGTCATATTAAACCTGCCTTAAATGCATAAATTGAAAACAGCTCCTTGTGCTGAAGCATTATAAGAACATCTTAATGTTCTTATCTTTTTCTGCATTATAGATTTTATTTCATACACGGAAGATACACAAACACATAGATCTTTTCTTTTTCTTGCTAAGCTATATGTCTCATGTATCGCCTGTAATATTTTCAAAATGATAATTTTCTGTCTTTATTTTTTCAGTTTTTGAAATTTAGCTCTTTTGTATGCCATAATGATAGATCTCTTTCTTCTACATATAATTGGTTTTGAAAGTGTTTTGTAAAATGGCTTTTGCATTTGACTGTCTTTTTCAACCTGAAATGGAAATAATGTATTTGAAGGGATTTTCAGAATCCTGTCACAAAATAGTGACACTTTGAAATTTATCCCGAGTGACACTTACTAGCATCAGTAAGAAGAGACTAGAATTTTTACTAAGATGAAGCACTTCATTATTTAACGAATTCAGAACATGGTATAAGATGTGCTTCCAGGTATTTCTCAAATCATTAGGGTTAACTGATTCCAAGGAGAGGTGTGTAATTACATATTGTCTTGTTAAACTAAGTTTTCTTGCAACACTCCCTTTTAAAGGTGATTTTTAGTATGCATAGCTATGAATTTGTGATATTTCTTATGAATAAATAAAATTTGTCTTCCTGTAAAATTGCTTATCAAAAAAATAGCCAGTAAGTTTTTGCTAAAATTGTCAAATGACAAACCTTCACTGCTATGAGTTGATCCATAGGAGTCATTTGGTGCTGCTAAGCATGTATCAGAAAGGATGGTTTTCATCTTTGACTTGGGAGTGAATTATTTGAGAATTTTCATGGAGAAAACTTCTACTTTGGCTACCTGATGTTGGACCTGACAGGGATATCCATGACTCAGTAGGTGACTTTGTAGAACTCCCTGGTTTGGACCAGATGTCATGTGTTTTCCTCAACCTCTTTGAGACAGGGCCTCTCACTGAACCTGGTGCTCAACAATTGGCTAGACTGGCTGGCCAGTGAACATCAAGAATTTTCTCTGCCTCCCAGTGCTGGAATTACAGGTTCACACTATGCACTGCTTTAAGCATGAGTTCAGGGGATCTGAACGCAGATCTCCGTGCTTGCACAGCATATCCTTTACCCGCTGAGCCACCTCTCCAGCTCACTCACCATATTTTCTATATGACCTGAAATCTTTACTGAGTTTTACTTTCCAGTTGCTTTAGTTTAAAAATAAGAATTCTTATAAGGTACATGAATATCTTCTGGTAGAATTACTATTTTTAATAAGCATTGTAGTATTAATTAGATTTTATTGAATAAGTGAAATTTCTCCTAAAATTATATGCTATATATTATGACGGCAAATGTTTGGATTATACTAGGGATAAAAAATAATTATTTTTTAAAATATTTTATTATTTTTACTTTATGTGCATGAGTCTATGGCTTGCATGTAGATAAGTGCACCCGTGTGATGCAATGCCCACGGAGGACAGAAGAGGCCATCGGGTTGGATCCCCTGGAACTGGAGTTACGGACAGTTGTTAGCTGCCATGTGGGTGCTGGGATTCGAACCCAGGTCTTCTACAAGAATAACCAGTGTTCTTAACTGCTGAGCCATCTCTCCAGCCCCCACAAATAATTCTTAATTTGTTTCTAGCATACTTTTAAAATGTATTTGGAATTTTTTCTTCCACTGCTTTCAGAGAATCATCTATTAAGGCATGAGGCCCATGTGGCCTTGTTTGCTTTCAGTGATCTCAGTGCAGCCTAAATATTCACAAGAGATAGTGCTTGTAGTTTTGAATACGAATGTACTTGAAAAACATGTCACAGCGTCCTTACAACCCCAGGGACCCTACTGTCCTCAAGTGACTGTATACTGGTAAAGAATCGTGACAGTGCCCCTGGCTCTTTGTGGGAAGTGTATAGGTAGGGCTAAGCAGGAAATGAAAACCTACCTCCCAAAAGGCATTGGGGATTGAAAGGGAACAGTGCAGAGTTGGATTAAATTGTTGATTTGAAGAATGATTAGGATTTTCTATGCCAGCAAGTAGATAACACTAAACCACCATTACACATCCCCTCGATTCTAGAAGTTGGAGAGCTTCCTCCAGGGATTTGACCTCTGGAGTTCAGAGAGTAGAGTGAGAGTAATTCCTTCTCATCTATCTCTTCATGGACCAATTAATTTCTTTCCATACAAAGGCAGAAGCCATCGTCCATCCTCTAAGTCTGGATCATAATGTAAGCCATGTACCACTTCTTCCATTCGTCTTTCGTCTCTTCAGATTTAAACACAACGGGGCTGGTAACAGGTCCCTTATGTAGATCAAAGGAGTAACACAGTTCCTATTTCTGGGATATCTCATAGCTTTAGGAAGATCATTAGGATTTCATAGGAAAAACAGTGAGGAACATCACTTTCAAATATAAATACAAAGCCTCTCTGTAGCCAGAGTTAATATACTTTGGGTTTAGCATTTCAGTTTGTACTTCAATTTCCGTAATTCATTGAATGTATTCCAATTAAGCTTGAGTGTTCTATAAAATAGAATATAAAAAAAGAAAACCTCTTTGACCATCTACTTTTGAATGTGATTGTTTTAAATTAAAAACTATAAGAACTATAGCATATAACTAGAATGTTTGCATAAATAAATGTTTTTCAGAATTATAAGCAATTGTATTAAAAATTTGAATATTTTTCTTTTGAAACCTCTTGTATCCTTTATATGTGTGTAACAATTAAGTAAATAAAAATTAATCAAATAATTGTAAGACAAGGTCTCCCTATAGCCCAAGCCAGCCTGGAACTCACTATATAAAGAGGCCGGCTCACAGAGATCCTTCAGCCTCTGCCTCCCAGGTGCTAGTATAAAAGGCTTGCATCACAACACCCAGCTGGATAACTATTATTTTAAAATCATATTAAAATATAAATCTGTAATGAAAATATTTAACTGAAGTGTAATTTTTTCCTTCCAGATACACAAGATGAAAAGGAAAGAACTAAAAAATATGGGGCGTTTATACGTAGTCTTCCAGGGGTCAACCGAGCAACACTGGCAGCTATAATTGAGCACCTTTATAGGTAGGTGGATTTGGGAACCTTTTATGCATTTCAAACCATGACAGTAAATAAGTCATTATGCTTTTTCGTTTATTTATTTGTTTGTTTGTTTGGGACAGGGTCTTCCTTTAGATCCAGCTGGCCTGGAACTCTATAGATCAGGCTGGCCTCATTCTCAAAGAGATCTCCGTGCCGCTGCCTTCTGCGTGCTGGAATTAAAAGTGTGCACCACCATGCCTCATTCTTTTAAGTTTAACATGTGTGGCCAACTTTCCGCAGATTACTGTGAACACGTCACTGTAAATTAGGAACTGTTGCTTTATCCTCCTTTTGTGTAATTAAGGTGTAATTCAGGTATATTTCTAGTTGAATAATGCTAGACAATTTCTTAAATAAGAAATAGTAATATACAGCATCCTTATGCTTCCAATGTATAAGCAGGAAATTTCAAACTCCCTTGAGTATGCAATTGGAGAAGAAAATACCTTTGTACTACATAAGTATAATGTATATTATATAGTCATGTTTCTGCCTGTGATATGTGGAAATAAATGTGCTCTATGGCATGCAGTATGGAATTACAGGAGAGAAACTGCTTGAATGGTGAAGGACCAGCTTTCAATAGCAGGAAGTTTATTATAAACTTCTGTTCATTTAATGGTCACTTTATATCTTGCACAACTCTGAATATTTTGGTATTAGACCTTGACTAGATGATGATATATTAAAAGTATGAAATATTTTCTGTTAGGGCATAAAGTTCCCCTTGCATTTGGAAGGAAATGAGGAATAGAACAGTGGCTTCTGAAGTCTGAAGGATGAGGCTCTTTGAAATGACATTTTAATTCAATACTAAAGGTTGGCTTGGGTGTGGATTTCAGAAAGAATTATTGCAAAATATTCATAGGGATAAGTTTTGCTTAAGAAATATATTATAGCTCCCTGCCTAATTTAAATATTACTTTGAATAAATTTTGATATAGCTGTTTTTTTTTAATAAAAGTGAATGATTTGCAGACTAGATTTAGGAATATCCCACAATGTTTTTTCTTAACTATTCTTGTGAAACATGTAAGCTATTATTATAAACATGATTTTCAGGGGGTTTTGTTAAGCTTGGTTTTTCTTTTCTTTTTTTCTTTTTCTCTTTTATAATTTTTTTTTCTCATTTTTTGATGGTGGTGGGAATGGTGAGTGCTTAAGCAGTGCTCAGCTATGGAGCTGTATGCCCAGCCTATTCTTATTCCACCATACAAATGCAACATATGACAGGCTGGGACAAAATTTAATACAGAGTGTTAGCTCACAGCATGGAATTATATAAGAAAAAATGGGGGATTTGTTATGTATTGAGGTCCAAGGAATTAATGAGGTTCAAGAAAAGTTTCAAATTATGGAATAATGAATGAAAAAAAGATATGTGCAAAGTAGTTATAGCTCAGGGGGTCGATACAGAAGAATTGTTCATCCCAGGAGTTCAGGAGGATCCTGAGTCACATAGACAAACCTTGTCTAAACTAACAAATAAGCAAAAAAAAAATTTTTAATTAAAAACCCAATACATGGGTGAAGAATATCTTCTGGGATATCAAAACACTAGGAGATGACATTTGTAGTTGTCAGGCAGGAAATTATGAAAGGCTTTGTTTGTAAAACATGCAAAAGCATTTAGAATTTATAATATGTAACTGATAAAATCTGATTTGGCATAGTAATCCCTGTGATTGGTTGGGAAGAAATTTAAAAAGAAAACTAATTCAGAAGTTTCCTTAGGCTCAGATGAGAAAGGTAGGAGAAGGCCAGTTATGTAACACTGGGGAACATCCCCATCTGGGTACCAAGAAGTAAAGAAAACCAAATTCTGTATTATACCCAATTATTTCAGAAACTGAGTCTCTCAAAGAAACTAAATATATTGACAGCTAAAGAGGTCCAGAGAGGGACAAGGTTACAGAAATCTCAAGAAAATCAGGAATGTTGGGTAGTGTCATCAGAAGTGTGGGTCACCCTGGGTAGGGACAGATTGACGTAGCATTTAATTGAGTCCCTACCCTGGATAACAGATCTCTTCTGCTGTCAGTAGCAGCCACTTAATTCTGCTCACCAGGTATTTGTTATGTACTACAGTGTGATTAAAGCAAGAGTCTTCGACTGAGATCCTGAGGTTTTAGGAACAGAACCAGAAATAGAGATAAATTTTCTGGATGTTTACAGTCTAGTGTGATAAAAGTGCAGAAGGCATTTCGAGCAGTGCCTACAATTGTTACATCCTCCTTTATTAAATTCTAGTTCCTTTTGCATCTTGTAAATCGTATATGATGATTACACTTTCTTTATCCAAGTCAGCTATGCAATTTTGCATTTTATTATGGATTTCTTATATTATCATATATATTACTACTATGTTTACTTTTGCAGGCATCAACTAGATCTATATTCTGTACACGGGGGCACCTGGCTCAGTCTTGTCACGTTCCCTGAATGGAGTTTGCTCTTTCTTGTTTCACACACACACACACACACACACGCACAAAATATGCTCAATTTTTTTATAAAATGAGAAGAGAATTTAGTATTTACTCATATCATTGATGGAGGACTCATTAACAATGCATGTAAACATAGCAGATTATTCAGTATATAGCTGTTTAATAGGAATCTGTTATTTTCAAATTGAACCATGGGTATCTACGTTTTCAAAGCTAGCATCCAGCTATGAGAGAGAAAGTGTGACATTTGTCTTTTTAAAATATATTTTTATTGTGTTTTTGTAATTTCATACAACAGTTCTTAATCAAATTTAGACCCCCTCTCCCATCCATTCCTCCCTCATACCAGACCTCAGGTGTTCTGCCATACATGTTAAGTCCTAGCCAGTCAAGCATTTGTACCCAAAATGTCCTTCATGCCCAGCAGGGGAGAATCTAAACACCATCAAATTATAGTGTATGAAAATTTTAAAAATTCAATCAAAAGATTTAAAAAAGCACAAAAAAGGACATAAAGTCTCTGGACCATGGAAATTATCCCCTTTTATAAATAAAAACAGAAGTAAAAACATTGGAAAAAATCTGTCATTAATACCACATATTTTAACAAGTGTTTCCAAGCAACTTTTTTATGTAGTTAATGAAAAGTCAATAGAGATCATCAATAGATATTCCTACTTGGATTTCTCATCTGTACTTTTATCATTGTAACTTCCCTGTTTGTAGAGATGACTGAAGTTTTGTTAAATACTTTTAACTTATACCCAAACTGGATAAAGACACAACCAAAAATGAAAATTATAGACCCATATCCTTAATGAACATAGATGCAAAAATTCTCAACAAAATACTTACAAACTGCATACAGACACACATCAAAAAGATCATTCACCATGATCAAGTAGGCTTTATCCCAGAGATGCAGGGATGGTTCAGTATACACAAGTCAATAAACGTCATTAACCATATAAATGGACTCAAAGACAAAAGCCGCATCGTCATCTCAATAGATACAGAAAAGTCTTTGGACAAAATTCAGCATGCATTTATGTTTAAGGTCCTAAAGGGAATTGGACTGGCAGGAACATACCTCAACATAATTAAAGCTATATACAACAAACCCACAGCTAATATCATTCTAAATGGAGAAAAACTGGAACCATTCCCATTAAAATCAGGAACCAGACAAGGATGTCCACTATCTCCACTCCTTTTCAACATAGTGCTTGAAACTCTTGTTAGAGCAATAAGACAGGAGAAGGAAATTAAAGGACTACTAATTGGAAAAGAAGTCAAACTATCACTTTTTACAGATGATATGATACTACACTTAAGAGATCCCAAAAGTTCCACCTGAAAACTCCTAGAACTGATCAACACTTTCAGTATAGTGGCAGGTTATAAAATCAATCTACAAAAATCAGTAGGCTTTCTATATACCAATAACTATCAATTGGAGAAGGAATACAGAGAAATGTTCCCATTCACAATTGCTGCAAAAAATTAAAATATCTTGGAATAAATCTGACCAAAGACACCAAAGACCTCTACAATGAAAATTTTAAATCTTTAAAGATGCTCATGGATTGGAAGAATTAATATTGTGAAAATGACCATCCTACCAAAAGTCGTTTATAGATTCAATGCAATGCCAATCAAAATCCCCATTACATTTTTCACAGAATTAGAAAAAAAAATCGTTAAATTCATATGGAAGCACAACAGACCCCAGATGGCCAAAGTAACATTGAGCACAATGAGCAACACCAGGTGGATTACTATACCAGATCTCAAAGTATACTACAGAGTGAATATTCAAACTGCTCTTTATGAGAGAGTGAATATTCAAACTGCTCTTTATGAGATACAAATACTGTAGCTTACTAGTAGGAGGAATGAATTTTTTTTGTTTTTATCTGTTCATTTTAAAAGGTATCCTTAGTTTCCAAAAGGGGGAAAAAAAAAAAGCTGTGTTTTTAAATTAACCATTTTCTTTTTGAGATGTAAAAATATCCTGTTTTCAGTAACTGGACAAACACGTATTTGAAAGGCTTTGTCATAGAAAACCATCTGGATTCTGTTCTGTTAAATGATAAGAAGTGAGTCATCAAACCTAATTTAGCATAGTGGCCCTTGTGATGCAGTTGAGTTGGGAATAGGTAGATAAACAAGTAGGAAAGAGTTTCTTTGGGCTCTGATGAGAAGATACACTCTTACCTGATAAGCATTTTGTAGAAAATTTATCCTTGCCTCCAACCTGAAATTCCCTGTTGCATGCCCCACAACCCCCATGCCTGCCTTTTCCTCCTCACCTCCTGCCCTCTCTAGTTCATTTATACTATAGGTACGTAAGTCATTGTATAACACCACTTGCACATTTTCATGTTTTGGCCACAGGTTGTTTTACTGTCTGGAACTAATTGGATGTGGACAGTCTCTCCTCTAGGTGAACATCAAATACTGCTCCTTTTAGGCAATAGTTTTCTTGGGTTCTTAGTGAGACTATAAGCTACTTGGGAGAAGGAACCATGGTTTTCTTTAAGGTGCCACTACCCCTTTTAGATTTTGAAGAACTTCAATAAATATGTGTTTAAAATAATAAATAAGGGCTAAGCTTAATTTCTGTGAAATTCTGGAATAGGAGTGTGTCATAATGAGGTATACTTTTCCATCACAGGGTTCAGAAATGCTCAGAAATCAATCACATGAATGCCCATAATTTGGCCTTAGCATTTTCCTCCTGTTTGTTTCAAACTAATGGACAAACTAGTGAAGAAGTGAATGTAATCGAAGACCTGATTAATAATTACGTTGAAATATTTGAGGTAAGCATTTTATATTCTACTGTTGCTAAAATGGTTGCTACTTGCAGGGGTGCTGTGTATTTTGCCTTGCTGTTTATATCCTTATGAGTATTTGAAAATAGAGAACATTAAGGGTAGTTATATTTGAAGTTTTTAGAAATAGCCAGCTTTCTAAACTATAACATTTATTTAAATTTAGCAACTTTTAACAATCTTTTTCTGTCTGTTGGAACAGAGTTCTATTTACAGGGGCGTGTGTGTGTGTGTGTGTGTGTGTGTGTGTGTGTGTGTGTGTGTTTTCTCCTCACTATGTATGCATTAATTATATCTACTTAGAGGTGCGAAGTTATGAATTTAACAAATTCAGTAATAAACAAAAGCCTGTTAAGTGCTGCAAATGAAAGCAATATGTTTATTTTTTTTATAATAGTGCTCCAGTTGGAGGAAATTATAAAATATTCTTATGGCTTTTACTGAGTCACCACTTTTAATTTGTAATCCTGTGAAGACAGTATTTTCATGTTTGAACAGAAAACTGTTAGAATAGGAATGCTTTTATAGATTAAAGAAAATAAAGTATAGGAAATAAGGCCAAGATTTGGCAGGTCAGGATAAAAGTGTCCTTCTGTCACATAAGTAATTGTGTCGTCCTAGTCTTGTTCAGTGGTGTTTTTCAGCACTCTCAAGTGATGTTCACTTATGTTCTGTGAGTAGGGATGTACCAGCTGAGGCCAAACGGCTTAGTTGGTATGGTAGTTTAATCATTGAGACTGTTTGTATTTTTGCTATAATTAACTCATTACAAGATTGCTTAGCAAAGGGAAAAGAACTATTTTACTAAAATACCAGTTGCTACTTTAATTCCCTGGGGAGTGGACACCAGAGTTGATTTCCCAGTGCTGCTTCACCTCCTCCTCATCTCTTCCTCTGTTTGCTCACAGTTTCTTGATCAATAGCAACTCCCTTGCAATGATTTGATGCTGAGTAAAAACAATTAAATGTGGCTTTATATGCTCTCTTTATTGTGTTAATGAAAACTTAGTAGTTAACCTTCATAGTAACCTAGCTTTAAATAAATATTACATGTTTAGTAACTTGAGGAACATTAGGTTTGACTGATGAATCTTGTTCCTCACCTGTAAGCACTTTCCAAAACTGGCCATCAGACCATGTGCTTGTCAAATCTCCATGAGTTTCCATGGGTTGACTCTTTCGTGCTAAGGACTATCATCATCAAAACAAGTTCTGAGCCTTAGGAGTCTATTGTCGGCTTCATTTTGCCTCATTTATGGGGCCCTGTGTATTAAGATGGCCTTCTCATCTGTCTGTAACTTGTTGATATTTAAACTCCTGATGAGCTGTGTGAAAATGAGGACCCGGCTCTGTACTCTACATTATTAGAATATCCCAAATTATATTTTAAACAGGTTAAAGAAGACCAAGTCAAACAAATGGACATAGAAAATAGCTTTATTACCAAGTGGAAAGACACTCAAGTGAGTAGTAAGAGCTAGACTCTAAAGACTTGAAGAAAAATACAAAACTTTGATAAATGAAGACATTTGTTGTGTGTGTTTTCAAGCTCCTTTTCAAAGTGGCGTAAAAGAGTTGGGAAAATGTACCTTAATGAAAGAGTGGGGCAACTCAGAAACGATGCATAAATGCAAAATGTGTTAGTATCACTTTTAATATAAAGGAAAGTTATTGAGATCCATTTTTTAAAACTACATAAAATTCCAGTGAGTTTCAAAGGAAGCATTCAAAGCCAAAGAAATGCTCGAATAAATTGCAGACTCAGATAGCGCAATTATTCTTTTCCTCTGTGGTGCTGGGGATGGAATGGTGTCTTACTTGCTTCTGCTTTGCACACTCTGAGATGATTGTGTTAATGAGACTTTTCTGAGCTGATGTGTGTAACACATACTAATTTTTGTCTCAAGTCAGCTTTCTAAATCCTGTCTTCTTCCCTCAGTGTGTTATGTTGAATTTTCATGTTCAGGATGCATCTTGTTTTCTCAGGGTGCCTTACCTTGGTCGATGAATATTCACTGAAACTTCTTAAGGTTGATCATTAATCGTCTTCTGGTAACTAGAATGGTCATGGATTCACGGTTTCACTGTAAATAATAGAAATGGGTCAAATGTACTTGGTTCACAATTACACTAGGAAAATGAGGCAACTTCTTGCTTATTAGTCTGACCTAAAGTTTGCTTCGGCTCTGAAATGTCTACTTCTAATTAGAGGAATCATTGGAGCTATCATTCTGTATGAAGCAGATGAGGGCATGTTTAGATCCCCTGGAAAGAGTGTCATGATGTTAATTACCTAACAAGTGATTTCCTCCATTTTGAAAGAAAGCAATTACTACAACTTCCAGAGGAGTTAGCTATAACACTTAACAAACAAAATCTGGTTTGTTATCAATTATTTTAGATTCTCACTTTGGTGGGAGTATCCAGAAATGAAGGACTCTGTTACCCTGGGAGGCAATCTTTGGAGAGTGTTATCTACATTGTTATGACATGAGTATCTGCTTGTATGTTATAAGAAATAAATGAGTCTTGAGCACCTTTTAATTTACCATCAGCAAATTAAACAATCCTCTATAAAATAATTGTGAAAGAAAGGTAGAGTAATTTTTAAAATTTCATTGTTTTTGCTTGAGCTTTGCTTCAGGCTAGTGAAAACTCAAGAGTATTTTTGACACTTTCTCTATCTTAATCCTGTTCGAATTTCTTAGCTATTTTACTTTTGGGGTTTATGAGTTCTTTATAATTTTTAAAATGTGTTCCTGGTCTGGAGAGATTGCTCACCGGTTAAGAACACTGACTGTACTTACAGAAGACCCAGGTTCAAATCTCAGCACCTACATGACAGCTAACAACTATCTGTAACTCCAGTTCCAGGGGATCCAACAGCCTCTTCTGCCCTCCGCAGGCATTGCACGACACAGCTGCACTTACCTACATGAGGACACAACACTCATACACATGAAATAAAAATATTAAATAAAATATTCCTACATATACGACACAGCTGCACTTACCTACATGAAATAAAAATATTAAATAAAATATTTAAAAAATGTGTTCCTCCTGAGCTGCACTTACCTACATGAGGACACAACACTCATACACATGAAATAAAAATATTAAATAAAATATTTAAAAAATGTGTTCCTCCTGAATGTGCTGAAAAGAAAAAATATCAACCATATCTCTTTCTTCCTCTAAATTTTCTGTAAAATCAAAAGTGAGGGGAAAAAATGGAAGTAAACTTTCTATACATACAGGGACCAAGTAATTAAGAGCACGTCTTCAAAGTACATTTTTTTAAATACTTTATTTTATGTGTATGCGTGTCTTGCCTGCATGTAGGGAAGTGCACCCGTGTAGTGCAGTGCTCAAATAGTCTCTCTTTGGGGGTATAATGATCCAGATAACTGCTGTTAAGTGCTTAGGGGACAGTATAACAAAAACTAAAACTTATCTTTCTTAACTGCCTTAGTCTATCATTTTACTTTTTTTTCTTACTAAATTTACTTTCTGTAATATTAATTCAGCTCAGATCTAACTTATCTCCCAATTTTAGTGTTTGAATGTATTATCTTTTTGAAAATTTAGCAAGGTATATTTTGTCTTTTAATATTACACACATGGTTTAAGAACTCTCCACATTCTCTGTAACTTAATGGTGATGGCTCCTAAGCTCCTGCAAATGGAGCTTACATCCATCATAACAGCCATTATTTCAATAAGAACTTAGGTTACCCCAGGACATTTAAGCCCTTCACCATGTTATTAACAGCAACAAAAACAAATACTGTGTGTGACTACTGATACTAGTTAAACCATTTGTTTGAACCAGTACCTAATACTGATGCATGGAAGGATTGAGCTAATTTCATTGATATAAAATTTTGACTATAACAGCATTTTGCAAGTCTCTTAGGTGCCGCCTGTGTGGTTTTATGACGTACTTACATATGCTGTCTTCATTTCTGTCTTTTCTAGGTTTCTCAGGCTGGAGATTTGCTAATTGAAGTATTTGTAGAAAGGAAGGAACCCGACTGTAGTATTATAATTCGGGTGAGTCCTGAAGAAGGTAATGAAAAGTTCTGTAGGAGTTACGAGAGTTGCTGTTCATTTCATTTTTAAGTTTTTCTAGCATGTTTTGTATTTTATTTTATCTCTCCAGTTCAAACAATGCCTAAAAACAAGATTGACTTTTCATAGCAGTGTCCTCTAGGAAATTAATACTTTAGTTATTTGGAAAGAGAACATCTTATGTGTTTTTGTTAAGAATTCTGTATTTTCTAGAAAATGAACTTAACTCAAATACTTGTTTCTCCTCTTCCTAATATCTCAACCCGAGGCAAGTTATTTCCCCTGTCTTATGTCTTCAATTTTCTTATTTATAAAGTAGGAGAGATTATAATATTTGCATCGTGTCACTGGTGGAAGGACTCATTAATGCATCTAAACACAGCGTGTTATTTAGCATATAACTGTTTAATAAGTACCTTTTATTAACTTTATTGGTAATTTTATTCATGCATATAAAGTATTTTGATCAACTCCACGCCCACTCCCTCCCCTCCAACACCTCGCATATCTCCCCATCACTTTTTTCTGACAACTTCACCTACCTTCCTTCCTTCCTTCCTTCCTTCCTTCCTTCCTTCCTTCCTTCCTTCCTTCCTTCCTTCCTTTCATGGAGTTTTTTGCTACTCTAACCTTCCCCCCTCTGAAGAGGTAATCCTAAAATCTTTTAGGGATTACATAAGAGCTCCCAAATACTTTTGATCTTTTTGGCCTTTGGAATAGAGTATGTTCCTAAGAGGCCTAAGGACATTTTTACTTTTATCCAGGAAACTGGCTACATTTCTTTGGAGTCTTTTTACCCTAAGTGCTTAACCAATTCCTACTTCCCATTCTTGTCACACCATCCCCTGAAGAGGTTACCCAAATTGCCAATATGGAGTTGGGACATAGACCGCTCTGGCTTCTTCCATGTTGAACAAGGACGCAGGGTGAGGCAATTGGAGTACCCCTTCAGTGGGTCTATTTAAAATTCTCCCAAATTGCCTAACTCTTATCTGTAGGGAGAAAAGAAGGTCCTTGACTGATGAGTAGGGGATATGAAGAAGTAAAGGCAAGAATAGTTAACATTACAAGTTCTAGACAGGGAACCAGAGAAAAGTCAATACAGGGCAAGTTTCAAATGTTCATATCAGAGACCATTGGGATTTCTTGATGAGAGCTTCCAAAAGCATGCCTCTGTTGAGTTCCTACTCATTTGTTTGCCAAAGGTGGACTCGAGAATGATGGACTCAGGATTTGTTTTCAAGCACTTTGATAGCTGTTGGAGTGGCTAGAATCAGGTCGGTTCCCTCTCAAAGGCTTCTAGATAGGAGGAGAAAACAAATTTAGCCATCAGTTTAGAACAACCAGTGGGCTACAGGTGGGCACTACAGTATTTCAGAACAAGATTTGAAGTCTTACGTCTGAGCAACACTTTCTGCTTAGAGAACAAAATCATCAATGTGAAATAATTGTCTAACGTTTTATATGGACTTAAGCCTTATGTCTGGGAAGTATAATCCCTTGAACTCTTAAAGAAATATACTGATGACTTTACTCTTTGGTTATACTTTCCTTTTGGGTGTTTAAGAACATACAGTTACCCAAATAAACTGATTTATTTTTACTATTCAGGTTGTTGGAGGATCTGTTCCTCAGGGGTCACATGGGCTTGTGAGGAGCCCCTGGCTCCTTTCTTTTACCAGTTCCATCTATGTGAAGATAAGTCAAAGGTCCTGCTCGACCATGGAAGCATGGAGGAAATGTTCCTCTGTGTTGACCCTCCTCTTTGGAGACTGGACACTGGTTCAGGTCCATCTGGGGAGGGTCTCCATGTCCTTCCTAAACAGGAGGACAGGTGACTCAGCACAGTTAGAGGAAATTTTGAGAGATGTTCCATATTCCCCTGGAACTTAGTCGACCTTGGAGGGCAAGGGGCAAAAACTGTCCTTTAAGTCCCTTTGACCAGATTAGTCTGGACCTCAAAGTATGGCTGTTAAATATCCAAGAAAGTTAGTTCCCCCAGTCTGGTACTTTTAATTACCATGTGCTATTTAGATAAAGCTTGGGCAAAAACCAGACTTCTCAGATAAACCTTGACTAGACATATATTTTCTTACTTAAACTAGCTGACTAAACTATGACCTTAGAAAATTTAAGATTATGTGTATATTATTTTTGTCTCATACTTTATATATCATAGCAAGCCTACATAGACCATCATCACTTGTTTAGGCTTTTTTGTTTTTTCTATTTTGGAAAATATCTCCATTCCCATATCCTTTTAACATCTTTTACAGTCTCATTTTCTTTTTTAATAATTATGAGACAAAATAACATTAACAAATAAATTTTTCATCTGTTGTGAGAATTCTTTTTCTGGGGATACTGAGCAATGCTTATCCTCTTTTAAGGTTCCAGTGTCAAACCAATGTTTGATTAAAGTTTTCCTGGGGAACCAGTGAATTTACTGAGCTTACTTACTGAGATTACTGAGGGGTTGCCGAGGTGTATTAGTGACCTGGGGGTGTGCACACTGGAAAGCCTTTACCCAGCCTGGATCAAGCCTTCTCTTTCTAGCCTTCCCCAGATTATAAACTAGTCCTCCCAAAATCCAGGAGGCCATGTGTGATTAGTGCCAAATTACATACAGTTGGCTGGAAAGAGTGGCTTGATACTCCAGTGAGGGTCCACTGACCCTGTTTGTCCCTCCTTTAAAGAAGGAGCAATGTTTAGCAAGCAGGCACAGCTGAAGTCGTGATGATGGTAGTTATTTCACACACAAGACACTGCTGTACAGCATCACCTTATTAAAAGAACATGGAATAATAAAAAAGGCTTTGGTGCTAGGATCCACAAATGAGGGAGACCATAATGTCTTTTGTTTTCCTGAGTCTGTGTTACTTCAATACGTAGCTATTGTTATTATTAGTGCTCAACCTCATTTCCTGTACTTCTGCATTTATACTTGTATATTGGGTAACTCTTCTTAGAGCTGAGTTAAAATAGATCTTTCTCTTGGTATTCTGTTTGTTAGTTTGCCTTAGAGATAGTAGCAGTGAGGTTTCATGTTCTACCTAGGGAACACAGCCTTTCCTGTGTGCACAGTAGACGTTCTTCCATGTAGCAGGAAGTCAACTTTATTAACTGTTTGACATTGTAAGGTATTAAATATATTGTCACTGTTCCCTTAGATATTTCTGGTGCTTGTGTATTCTGACTATGCTGCTTAGTGCCTTAGAACCTATCACTGGAACACCATGATCATAGATTCTATGATCAGATATCTTGGAAGGCATTTCTCAGTCGCTAGTGGCATAGCTCTTATGCAGAGTGTGTTACTTTGTTCATCAGAGATATAAGAAGCCAGTAGAGATCGAATCACTCGTCAAAAGTCTGTGAATAACGTTAGAAGGTATGCGATTTGACTGTCTACACAGGCACTCTTTAGTAGCACATTTTAACTTTATCTTTTTAGTAAAGCCATACTCATGATTGCAATTTGGCAGTGTTCTCACATCTTCTCACTGCATTTAGATCACAGACTGTACAACTCCAAGTGATCTTAAAAAGCCTAACCACAACAATCTACAAAAATCGTTAGTACCATTTGTGTATGGCTTAACACTTGAAAAAAATTATAGAGCCTTTGCATATTTCATACAACAGTTTTTAATCAAATTTAGACCCCCTCCCCTGTCCATGGTGCCCCACTGAACCTCATGCATTCCACCATACATATTAAGTTCTATCCAGTCAAGAATTTGTACCCAGATATCATTTGGTGCAAATTCATCCACAGGAGTCTGGTCAGCCTATGTAGAGATCGTAAGTAAGGTCTACTCTTCCTCACCCCGTAGTAATCAGTTTTCAATAGGGCCAGCCCATTGTCCATTTCCCTCACTCCATTCTGGACCCTTATCTGATTGAGTTGGCATGGGTCCTGTGCTCGACACCAACATTACTGCAAGTTCACATGTGCAAGCTTCGGGTGGCCTGACAGCTTCTGTTTTCCTATGCTCATGGACCAGCCCTGGCTCTTACAGTCTTTCACCCTACCCCCAGTGGTCCCTGAGCCATGGGTAGATGGTGTTTTAAAACTCGGCCAGTTGTGACCTTTTATGTACATCACACTCTGTTGTGTAAGGAAGCTTCACTGAGAATTGAGGGATACACTGGTTTTCTCTTTACCCTCTGTTACACTGTGTTCCATGAGCCTTAGGTAGAGGTTCTACCTTTAAAAAAACATCTTGCTGTATTTATCTCTTTATTTTGATCTCTACCCTTGGAAGCAGATGAGCAGGTGATAAACTTATGAAGTTTATAGGAATGGAAAGTGGGAATTAAAAGTAATTAAGGAAGGGTACATCGCAAACCTGGGTCATCATAATCCAAATCCAATGTTCATTACACTGATCTGAGCATTCCCTAGAGTGCTTTCTTCCCAAATGTGTGGTGCTAGGTGTTTTTAAGGACAGCCTGGGTCTCTCCCTGAGACCAGCAGAAGTTCTCATTTTTCTTCATTCAAACTGAGGCACTTCCTGGCACCTCTTTCACTAATTGGGCTTCTCATTAATTTTATTCTTTTAAGAAAGGGCTATAGATCTTTACAAAACATCTTTCAGATCAGTGACTATCAGAAGAGTCATGGATCTTATTCATCTACTGTTTTCGTTGCTTAAAATGCTCCACTTTAATCAGATGCTAAGATATTTTGTAAGTTTGTAATTCTTTGAGCTCCTCTAAATAGAAATAACATATGCTTTTTTATATAATTAATGTATTTCAGAAATTAGGCCTTAAATTTCATGAAGTACAAAAGATAGAATGAGTGAATTACCTAGAGTGCTACACACACACACACACACACACACACACACACACACACACACACACACCACTCACAGGCTGATGAGCAATTTTTTTTTAATTTTTAAATAAGGATATTCTTTTGCTGAAAGGAAACAAACTGAGTTGCAATATTCTAATGTTATGCCCCTGCTTAACATTATTACTAAATTCTAAATAAAGAAAATAGTGTTGCATTTGGATATTATACACACAAGATTGGCAAGACCAATGAAGAAGTAACTAGAAATCCCCAAGTTCCTGAAGAGATGGTACTCTTACACAGTGGCCTCTGGCTTAGAGATGCTTGTGGATCTAGGCTGGCACTGCAGATGCTGCCATATGTCCTGAAACGCTAGTTTGAATATACTTTGGTGTCCTACCATCTGTCACTTGGCATTGCAGGAAACACCACAGACACCAAAACCTTAGGGCTTCTTGGCATGGCTAATAGTATTCAGTCATCTTTGTATAATTTAGGGTCCAGGCTAAATAAAGCAAGTAACTTTGAACTCTTGATTATACAAGAGACAAATGAGAAGTTTTGCTCTGAGGAAATTACCCAAGTTCTTTGGTGAGTTGCTTTGTGTATGTGGCTAGGTCCATCACATGTGAGTGACCTAATTGCCTTCTAAGAAAGAATAATTCTTCCTGATATCTCTATATTATAATATCTCTTTATATTGCATTAAGATGTATTTTGTGGAGAAGATCTGAACATGGCGTTTTCTATGTGCTTGAGAATCATTAGACGGGGAACAGTAACATGAGATTGCTTATATGCCTGGTATCTTTTGGTGAGCTATTGTTTCTCTTATAGATCTCTCCTGTGATGGAAGCAGAAGAATTAACTAATGATATATTAGCAATAAAAAATATCATTCCTACAAAAGGTGATATTTGGGCCACATTTGAAGTCATTGAAAATGAAGAGCTAGGTGAGTGGTTTTTATACTAGAGATACTTCATTCTTTGTGAGAAGTTCTGTTTATTTGTGACATGTAGTTCATAACATTTAATGTTTTCCTAAAAATCTGCATCTCATCGTAAATGCCCTTCTACATAAAGAAGGAGTACCTGCCCTGACATATGTTGTCACCACTGGAGGTTGACTTCCTATGATGTTGCTCATCAGAATAATTAATTCTTTCATTAAATATATAAATATAGTATAAGACATTAGTTGCTCTTTTGCTGCCTCATCAAATAAGGCTTTTGTTCATAAAGACAAGTAATTTCATTTATAGCAGTATCCCAAATGTTACTTGGCCTTCACCTTATCTCTGTTATGTTCAGTATTTAGTCTGAAGAGTACGTGTTTCAAAGATTATCGCTCATTCCAACGCAATAATTTTGTTACTTTTAAGTCTGGCAAAAAAATTCTCTTTTGGCTGTTTTATTTTTGTCTGTTTTTGATGTATAACGTCATCTTTCCTTCCACAGAAACTGAAGGGTAAAGAGAACTTTTAAAACACCTTGACTACTCTGATAGCCAAGCGTTGCATAAGCTTAACATTCTAATGACACCATTTCGTTTTAAAGACCTCTAGGAAAAAAATAAATAAATAAGATGCAGAATATCACTGTACCTTGACCATCTGTCTAGCTGATACCTACTAAGGTCTTGGGACCCTTTCAAGTATAGCTGTCAAACTGCCAAAAGGAAAACCTTGCCACCCAGAAGCTCAAGATAAAATTAAAATTCAATGTTGAACCACCCCAGGGTGCATTTTTAGGTGTACTGCAGTCAGCACTTGAATAGAAGGGGATTAGCAAGCACTCTGTCTTTCATTAGTATTTTTATCCATTTGGCTTTTTTAATGCACAGTTCTTTAAGAAGTTAATTGGATTTAAATTACTATGCTGTCCACATATATTGCCAAAGTCAGTGTCCGTGGTGCTTCAGGTTAGTTTTCAGTACACGCCTTTGTTGGAGTTGCTCCCTCTGGACAGAACTGCTCTGACAAATGACTCCTGTGACCCCCAACTGTTGAATTCAGCAGATCTGCTTTCAACTTCACTTGACGTGACTTTCTGTAGCTGGATGTTAGTGACCTTCTCTCCGTGTGGTGCCCTTCCATCCATTTTCAGTACTACCTCCGTTCTTCCTAAGCGTTACGCCTCATTTCTTCTCTCGTTTTCATCTCTCCGTCCCACTCACAGTGGCTTTCCCCTGCTCAGTCTCCTGCTGTCCTCTCTCATTTTACATGTTCCTTAGAATCTCATCCATTCTTTGTGCTCGACTGATATGTGAGTTGGTATTTCCCATGTTTGTCTTTGTTCTCGCCTCACCTGGCCCACTGGTCATCTCCTGTAAAGTCCACCTGCAGAGACTCTCTGTAGTGTACCTGTGTTGACAGAAGCTTCTTGGAAGGAAATAGAGCTTCTGACTTTTGCTTCGTTTTGTTTTTGCCTCCCAGTTTCCAACATAGTACTTCATATAGTAGCCATACAGTTAAAATCTCTTAACTAAATAAAGCATGTTATATAGAATACAGAGGTGCTAGAATCTTGATTTTTTTTTCTGTTTTCCTAAGGAAAAGGATTTGATTCCCAGGCTCATCACATTTGTGAGTGAAAAATAATGATCACGTTATTTTCAAGATTAACCTTCTAAGTCACAAACTGGATTATATTATTCCATCATTAAGATCTTTTTTATTACTTCCCTCATTCACTGTCTATTCTTCACAAGCAGTTCAGGTTCCTCCATATCTAAGATGATAGATTGATGCCTAATGTGCACCGACTCTGATCATTCACACATAAATTTACAGCACTGCATGCTGCCTGATGTGCACAGTGATGATAAGCCTAAAGCAGGTTCTGCCTGTCACCATTACATGTTTTAGGCATATATGTTTGAGGTCTCATCTCTCTCTCTCTATCACTCTCTAGCATATAGTAATGCACAATGCACCCCCTAAAGCCTTTTTAATTGAGGTGGAGCAAAAATCAAGTTGAGAACTTTGTAGAACTAAATGACTTGGGTTGTGGTTATGCAGATATATCGTAATGTGGAAGTTAAAAGGAAAGAGATCCCTGCGTTAGCGGGGAGGAAGAGTCACAAGGAGAGCTCAGTCTGTGATCAGTGGCCTGTGCAGACATGTTTCTGGCATTATGTCTGCTTCTGTTGTTCTAGGAAGCTCTGTATTGAATACTCATTTGTGCATTATAGAGTGGGCACCCTTTCCCTACCATATCAAATCTCTACTGCAATGTGGTTTATCAAAAATTATCACCATGTGAAATCTTTTGGTATTTTTAATTTTTTTTGATATTGGCTTCATTTAAAATATACAAAACTGAGATAGATTGTAAGACTCAGTTGCTAAGTAGATTTCCCTCTATTTGAATGTCTAGTCAAATACTTGAAATTTTTGCAAAGAGGGGGAAAAAAAAAACCTTTTTCATTTTCCACTTTGCAGGGTGTCAAGCATCTTTTGACTCATTCTCACCAATTATCAGAGGAAGAAGAATATGTTAGTCAGCTTTTCATTCCAGTAAGAAATACCAAGAGATAAGTCAGCTTATTTGAAGAAAAGGTTCATTTTGGGTCAGAGTTGCAGAGTATTTAGTTCATTGTTGTTTTGGGCCTGTGACAGAATCATATGGTGTAGTGGGTACAAGTGAGAGAATTCTGTTCACTTTCCAGCATCTGGAAAGCAAAAATAGGGAAGTGTTGTCTCAAAATCCCCTCAAAGGTATGCTCGTAATTATGTAACATCTTTCCCATAGACTCTATCTCCTTAAAGTTCTACTACCTCCCAACAGTAGCATGGGTTTATAACAATGCCACCAGCACCTGGACTTTTCAAGATCAGAACTATAGGATTCCAGTGTTGGCCCTGGAAGGCTTTTGTCCATCTCATTATCCAAAATTCATTTAAAACATTTCCAAGGGTCCCCAGAGTCATAGTCCCAACAGAATTCTAAGTCTAGAGCCTGTGAGACCGAAAACAAACATGTAGCTAGAGCCTATAAAAAAAAATGAAAGTTATATATTTCCAGTATACAGTGGCACAAGTGAGCATTCCTGTTCCAAAGTAGGGGAAAAGTAGCAAGAAAGACTCTGACCCAAACAGGACTGAAACCCAATAGGGCACACACCAAATCTGTAGCCTCATGTCTGACGTACATAACGCATGCTGGTGAGATGTGAGTTCCACAGGCTCAGGTAACCCTGTGCCTCTAGCCTTGCTGACAGAAGTCTGTGGGATCACTGGCTGGCACCGCTCAGTGAGAGCATCCCCCCTTGGCAAGTACTCCAAGGCCTTGGTTTCTATTGCTTCCCTGTTGCTTCCCCCATTGCAGCTTTGGCATCTTTCTCACAGCTCTTCATACTGTCAGAGGACACTTGCAGAGACTCTGACTCTACCATGTTCTGCCTGACCTCACCAGTCTATCCTCTGAAGTTTCAGTTACCACCACCAAGGCATTGTACATTTTATGTTCTGAATGCCTGCATCACTAGTATCACAATCGAACCTACGTCTCGTGTAAACTGTGCCAGACGCATGTGAGCCACAGCTATAAGAACCTCTGAATACCTTGATGTCTTAGTGTAGGTAAACAAATCCCCGGCAGACAATTCCCTAGGCAGCCATATGTAAGCAGGTCACCTCAGGGTATTTGTTTCAACACAAGTCTTTGAAAGAAGCTTACATGTTTACACCTTTGAGCATGTTGTGGTTCAGGTCCTATTGAATCTTAATGCCCTCAAGTCATCCCTCCTACACTCTTTGTGGAAGGTACATGACATTTTTTTAAAATAGCACTATCACTACTCCCTTGTTGGCAGTACCTTTAAACACCTTCCTTTTGTAGCTGGGCTTCAAATTTTTCAAATCTTTTCCTATTTTTGTTCCCAGTACCTACTATCAACCAGAATAAAAGGAGCCATCAGTATCCCTTCCAGGTTTTGAATGCTCACTTCCTTGTAATGCCTTCTTCTATTTTAATTAGTGTATCACCAGTAAACTTAGCCTTCCACCACATTTCAGGGCATGGAGAAAATATAGACATGTCCTTGCCAGGATGAAACATTGCTATTCTGTGTTCTAGTTACCAGCAGAGTGCACATACCCATCCTGAGCTGGATGAGCCTGGCCTTTCTCTGCACATTTCTCTCTGTATTCTAGTCTTCTGAGACCTTGCCAGAATTCCTATTAACCTCTGCTGATGCCATTCTAGGCTGTCTCTAGTATGCTTGCCCAGGCTTTTCCAAACTTCTCTCACAAATCTATTTCAAAGGTTTCTGAACGACATTATCAGCTGTAATTGTAACAGTGACCCATTCACTCTGACCATTCAGCTGACCGTTTTGGTCAGTTTTCTGTCATTGTGACACATACCTGCGATGAACAATTTATAGGCAGAAAAGATTTCTGTTGTATCACTGCTTCAGATATTTCAGTATATGATGCTTGGCCTTTGGTTGTATGGTGGGGTAAAACATCCTGATGGGGTATGTGTACCAGGGAAAAGCTTCATCTCCTGGTGGCAGGCAAGCAAAGGAAAAGGGTTTGGGTGCTCAATATCCCCATCAGGGCCTTGACCCATGACTTCCTTTCCTTCAGTTAGCCAACACTTGCTGAAGGTTCTACCACATATGAGCAGCAAACACTCTGAACAAGCACATGACCTTTGGAGAACATTCAGTCTCCTATGTCTGTAATTGTTCTCTTCTAAAGTTTGCTGTTATTTTCATACTTTAAAACTGATCTTAGCCTCTCTGTGTCCTGCACACCCAAAAAAATTATCCACTTGAGGAGCTTCTTTTATGTAGACTTTACTTTTTATTCAAACACTCTGTGCAGCAATATGATAGCAAAATAGTAAAATAATTCCTTGCCCCTCATAGCTGCTATCATATAGAAGATATACTTACTATTTATTAAGATTCTTTTAAGCTCTTCTCCTCACTAGCATATAAAATACTATTAAAATGCTGCATGGGATGTATAGCCCAATGACTGCACTAAGAATTTCAAGATTGGAAATGTCATAATTGTCTTTGGAAATCTGTGCTGTTATAGCAGAAATTGAAGAGTAAAAGCTGTTAGTTACAATGAAAACATCATAATTCTCCTATTAAAATATGGAGCTCAGGTTTCTTCTTTGCAGAAGAACTTAAACAGTTGCTAACATTGTGTTTTACCTAGCTGATTAACTGCCTTCCTAACCTTTTTTTTTTTCCCAACAACTACAATGAATGGTTACCAATTTTCAAGTGTTGTTTCTCCCTAATGACCTGAAGCCATGTGAGGAATCAGCTATGACACATGGCTCCAAGTTCCACCATTAAAATAGTTATTTGTAAGAATTTATATTTTAGCATGTTTGATGATTCAGTCAAGACTGCTTCTTATTTCTTTCTTAAATTGGAAGTTAGTGACATTTTACAGTTGTAGCATTTGACTTTCTGAAACATTTATCTCTTCTTCCCATTGTTCTTCTCTGTTCTTTGTCTAGGAACTTGAAAACAGCTGCAACATTTCCATTCACCTCAAATTTTTTTATAGAGTGATCCTATGAGGAAAATATACTCAGCTTTTTGTAACCAGAATTAATTATCTGTCTATTAACAAGCCTCTGTGTTTGCTGTGACTCAATTGAATATAATTAAGAGCACTGGTTCTATCACTGTGATACTTACTTGTAATAGTGTGTGATAGTGACATTGTCTAATATAAATGTCTAACAATTGGTTATGTTATTATTAGTTTAACCTTCTAGCTCAGGAGAGTGAGAATCAATGCCGAGCCACACCCCCTAGTAAAGATTGAATGTTATTGCCTTGCCAGTCTAGCTGCTTTATCATCATTTTCTTTGCATACAGACTGTTCAGACTATGCCAGTATTTCATCAGCATCTTCCAACAGATAAGAAAGTGACAGGGAGAGAGTAAACCAATGTCATTCTGGACTTCCCTCACATTACCTTGTTCAGGACTCAAAAAACTGGGGTGTGTGTGTGTGTGTGTGTGTGTGTGTGTGTGTGTGTGTGTCTGCATGTGTCCCAAAAATTAATGTGAGAAACCATCATGGCAGATTTATATAGTTTACCAAAATACAATTAAAGATTAAACTTAAAATTTAGGGATTTAGTACGTTTAGGTTTCCAATCTCTCATCCTTGCCTTAAACAGTTGGGTGACTGAACAAAAGACTGAAATTCTGTAAATCACCTTACATGAGTGTTGGGCTAGATGTGGTTGCACATACCTTTAATCCCAGTACTCAGAAAGGAGACACAGGCAGATCTCTGTGAGGACAATACCAGCAAGTTTTAGGCCAGCCATTGTTACATAGTGAGACCTTGTCTCAAGAAGAAAAAGGAAAAAGAATGTTAAGAGTAATGTGTATTGGGCTGGAGAGATGGCTCAGTGATTAACAACAGTGGCTGTTCTTGAAGACCTGGGTTTGAATCCTAGCACCCACGTGGCAGCTAATAACTGTAACTTCAGTTTCAGGGGACCTGACAGCTTCTTCCTACTTCCACAGGCATTACACAACATGGGTGCACTTACATACATGCAGGCAATGCATTCATACACATAAAATAAATAAAAATAATAAAGTATTTTAAAGAGTAATACGTGTTGAATAGTATTATGTGAGAATTTAAAATAACTGATATATTGTACATCATACCTGTCCTGTGTGATGCAGTTACTCTATAAATGACAACACAAGTGCTTGAACTGTCAATTGCAAAGGGAGCATGTATTATGATTAGTTTTATATTTGGATAAATATAATTACAACTATAAGAAATTTTGTTCATAAGTTCATCTGTTTACCCAGTAATTGAATTATAACTGACAAATTATGGAAAATTCTGACCTTTGCCCAAGTTTCCTGAAAATTATTTGAAAGACAGAAACATTGATAAAGCACAAAATCATCTTCCCTTTCCTATCCTTTGCCTGGTTTTACAAAGACTGATATTTTGCATGTTTTTTTCTCCAGTAAGCATTTTCTGTTAATTAATGACTGTGAAAGAAATTCATAAAGGATTTGTAGTTCTGGGATAATTATTGAACATCTCTGTACTCAGTACTGTGCTCTGTGCAGGGACTATATCATAGTTTATTGAGACATAGGTTTATCTTCAAGGTACATGGTTAATAGACATTTTGACAGTAATTCTGCTCTAATAGGCACAGAATGAATATCTGGACATTAGTTTACAGGTAGAAATCCCAAACCTGGTCATTTGCACTATAAACAGGAAATATCTCTTCTGTGAACCTCAGCTTGCTGACTCCTTGCTTCTTTAATGATGTAGTCATTGCAGGGGAGGAGGTGGTGCATCTGTTCCCTCTTATGTGTGACTTTCTGATCTGTTTCAATAGGATGGTTCATATATAGGCACCGTTGGCATGCTCTTCCTCATTTGTCATTAGCGTTACTCCTTTAACTGCAGACATAGTCTGGAGTGCTGTGTGCTATGCTTTTAGGAGGGACTCACAAAGCTGGCCTGAAACGGCTGCAGTAGCATACCAGGAAAGGAGCATTAGCGTCTCCTGTCAGAGCTCTGTTCTCACTGCTTCCTTTATTTTGTGTTTAAAATGCTATGAAAAGGTTTTCATTTTCCCCCAGAATATGGTTCTGTGTTTCCATTTTTATTAACTGATTGTAAGTTTGGCCCACAAAAGAGAACTTCGCTATGAAAGTGTGACTATTATTAAAAACATATTTTGAAATTCCATGTTAAGAATGTGTGATGCATTTCTCTAAAATAAATTATATATGAAGAGTTATCAAAGACAGATATTTAAGCTGTCAACTAATTTCTTGCTTATAGATTTATTATAGACCTATTATATTAACAGTTAATGTTTAATATTAACACAATGTTTATGGTTGTTATTTCTGCTAATAGTTAAACAGATTACTCGATACTATATCTTAATTATTTTCAAATGTTCACTACAACAATATTTTATGATTTCATATTGATTCACTTTGAGAATATGAGCTATAAATTATCCACTATTGTTGATAAGAAATTACAAGAGTCTCATCTTACTGGGATAAACAAAGGATTAATTCATGCCCATTAATATTGGACAAGATTAATTTGCTAGTCTTTTCAAAGTTACTTAATTGCCTATGCAAATGGAAATGTTATCTAAATTTTATGAAAGACTAAGACCCATGGTCATTATGTATACTAAGGGTAGCATTTTGAGATTTTGTCTAAGAGGAAGCATTTCTAAATTTTAAATAAAGTTGCATAGCAAGCCAGGTTTCTGCCTGATGAGTTCATCCAATTTGTTGCATTCTGTGCTCCATTTGTCCTGGGCATTTGGGTCACTTGGTAGAAATTTCAATGCTTTATCTTTTAGTGAAAAAAATGTATATATTGTTGCATACAGATCTTTCAAAAGGGTTTTTTAAACTTGTAATCATTACATTTACTTCAATATAATTTGTGTTTTATGTTTTCAGAGCGTCCTCTTCACTACACAGAGAATGTGTTGGAGCAGGTGCTTCGCTGGAGTTCGTTGGCTGAACCTGGTTCTGCCTATCTTGTGGTGAAGAGATTCTTAACCACTGACACAATTAAACACTGCAGAGGTAAGTCTCCTGGATTCACATTGCAAAGATTGTTAAAAGTTCAAGTGGCTGGAGAGTCCTTATTAAGGCCCAAGTGGTATTTGAAAAACAGAAAGAGAATGAGTGTGTAACTCTCTTTGGACACCAAGTTAATGTTCTGAGAAGGAGCATCTCATATTTCTAAGGGTAATTTGCCAACTTGTGCTTATATTTGTTCCAGTTTTCTATCTGTGGTGTGTCTTCTTGAATTAAGTTTACTTTGGGACATTTTCTGGTCACTCAAGAAGCACAAGTTGTCAAGTCGCTAATATTTTGTGTCAATATAAGTCTCACTGTTAACATTGAACACATACAAATATGCACGAAGTACAAAGATACTTACCATTTTACTGGAAAGAAAGAATTCATTCCACAAAGTTCAGTAAGTCAGCTAGCACAGAACCATAGAAAACAGTTTCTGAACATATATGACATGACAAAACTCTTGGTTTAGAAACTTTATATTGTGTTATCATTAATTTATATCTGAGAACAACATTTTAATTAGTCTCATCGCTAAAGTAACCCTCAAAGCTAAAGATTCAAGTCTATTAATACGAAATGTCCTACAACTTTAATAAGTAATATTAGTCAAAACCATTATTACTTATAAATCACAATTATACAACACTAGAAACAAAAAAAGTCATATTAGCTTTGTAAAATATTTTATTCAATAATCTTTCACTCATAAAGTGTGTATAGATCAAATCCACCCTCCATTCCCTCCCTTTCAATTCCTCCTCTCTTTCCCCACCACTTTTCCCTCCCAACTTCATGTGCTCTTCTCTTTTTCTTAAATACCCAGAATCCATTTAGTGCTGCCTGTATGTGCACGGATGTGGGGCCATCTACTGGAACATGGGTAGCCTGTCAGGACTCACATCCTTGAAGCTCTTCTTCCCCTAGTAACCATCAATTGCCTATAACTCCCCAGAAAGGGGGTCCGACCTCATGAGCTCCTCCCCATCCATCCTGGAATTTTGACTGGCTTGATCTTGTGCAAGTCTGTGCATGCAGTCACAGCTGCTATGAGTTTGTGAGTGCAACTGCTCTGTCGTGTATGGCAAATACTGTTTCGCTACAGACATCTACTACCTCTGGCTCTCATAATGCTTCTGCCTCCTTCTTCACCATGATCCCTGTATCTTGGAGGGAGAGATGTGATATATTGTTGACTAAGTGCTAGTGTCATGGCTATGTGGATAAAAAATATATAATAAATTAAAGTGTTTTAAGAGATTATAATCAGAAACAAAGTTTGGTGTACCCAAGGATGGAGATCCCAAAGCAAGAATGCTGTTTATTATTCAGCTATGAAAAAAAAATCAGGATTGAAGATAATTTCCTTGATTGAGAGCAATCTGAATACACTCTGTGTTTTAGGTCAAGAAGGCATGCCATTACATCTGTCACCTTCTCTCTCCAGCACTTGTTGTTAAATGGTGCCCTGTATATTCCATTGCATCCTGTTGATGCATGTAATTCTTTTGAGGTCTAGGTAGAGGACCTAAGTTGACATTGAAGACCTGAGCAGAGGAAAGAAAGCAGCAAGAAGAGATGGTATTGCAGACAGGTGAATGAGGACATGCAGATTTAGAGTAACATGTCAGCATAGTATGGTGCTAGTCTTTTATTTCCTTCATTCCTCTGACAGGGTGGAGGTCACAAAGCAAATCCCTGTTCCCAACTTGCCCCTTTTCATTGGCACTGTTGGAAGCAGCCGTCTGATCATACTACATATAGTTCATTCTACCAGAAAGTAATACATATGCCAGAAAGAGAATGAAATGTTCTAGGTGTCCCATAAGTAAATATTTTAATTGAAACATTGCCTATTAGCAGTTATTTTGGGTCCAAACTAGGAATACCCAAACTTTTTTAAAGACTTTAGTTTTCTACCCAATATGATGTTTGTTTGTTTTTTAATATTTTATTTATTATTTTTATTTATTTTCCATGTATATGAGTATATTGCCTGCATGTAAGTGCACCTGTGTCGTGCAGTGCCCATGGAGGTCAGAAGAAGGTGTTGGAACCTCTGAAACTGGAGTTACAGATGGTTGTTAGCTGCCATGTGGGTGCTGACCCAGGTCCTCACCAAGAGCAGCCAGTGCTCTTAACCACTGAGCCATCTCTCCAGTCCATTTTTGTTAATGTTTTTAAATAGCATTTGATACTCAAATTGTTAAAGCCAAATAATCTTTTTCATATTATTTGTTCTTCATATATTACAAATTAAAATTTTCTTTTTAAATAGGCTGTAAATTTTTAAAACATTTATTATTTATTTGCTTTTATTTTATGTGTATGCGTGTTTTTGCTTGCATACATGTAAGTGCCCCACATACATGCAGTGCTCGCAGAGGACATTGAATCTCCTGGAACTAAAGTTGGTCATTGGGTGGGTGTTGGGATCAGGGGTCTTTTGCAAGAGTAGCCAGTGTTCTTAATGGCTGAGCCATCTCTCCAACCCCAAAGCTAAAGACTTTTTAAAAGTCATTTAGTTAAATAATGATTTTAACAGTATGCCTCGCAGTAATCTGGACCTTATTAATGTCTCTTGTGGAGGATCCTTTGTGATAGATATAATAGGTTAGGCATTCAGTCTATTCCATGTCTATTGGCAAATGTCTTATAAACCAATCACAGTGATCACCGAACTCTAGAATGACTACTACACCCTACAGTTTGAATCTAAAAGGAAATGATGTTAGTCAAATAGTATTTCTCTGACAATTTATAAGCAGAAAGTTTTCATTTTAAAATGAACTGCTCTTCCAAACAATGATCTTAACATTTTCCCAATGATATTAACGTTTTCCCATTCTTTTAAAAAGATTTTTATTGATTCTTTGAGAATTTAATCATATTCATACCTGCCCATCTCCACCCTCACCTTAGTGACTCCCTGAATTCATTTCCTTTATTTTTTGCATACCTATGAAGTCTAATTTGTGTTCCTTAAATTATCTTGGGTGTGGGTCCAACCCTTGGAACTTGGTCAACCTACCTAGCATCCCAACCTTTAAGAAAGCTGACTCTTGCTTGGGTCCTAGAGAGATGACTCTGGTTAAGAGCACTGGCTGCTCTTGCAGGGGGCCCAGGTTTGATTCTTAGCACCCACATGGCAGCTAACAACTGTCTGTGACTCCAGTTCCAGGGAATCTGCCTTCTTCTGACCTCCAAGGGCATTGTACAACACAGTTGCACTTACATACATGCAGCCAATACACATAAAATAAAAATAATAAATATTTTTTAAAAAAGAAATCGCACTCTCCCCCTCTCAACAGCTATGAGTTGCCAGTAGTTTCTCGGGTAGGACTGAAGCTTCTTGCCTACCTCTCCAGTCTATACTAGGATCTTGTCTGGCTTGAGTTTGATCTGGCCTTATTTGTGCTGTCAAAGTACTGTGGGTTTGTATGTGCAACTTCCCTGTTGTCTCCAGAAAACATGGTTTCTTCATGTTCATTCACCACCTCTGGCTCTTAAAATCTTTCTGCCCCCTCTTCTACAATGATCCTGAGCCTTGGGAGGGAGGGTGTGATACACATGTCCCTTTTAGGACCAAGCACTCCAGTCTCTTACTTTCTGCACATTGACCAGTTGTGGGTCTCTCTGTTAATTGCCATCTACTACAAGAAGCAGCTTCTCTTTGAGAATTGAGCAATGCACTTTAATCTATGGGTGTAACAGTAAGTCCTTAGGATCAGATTAATACTGTGTCTGTTTAGCAGAATGATAGTAGTAGGTTCTCCCCTATGGCCTGTGACCTGTCTAACCACAGGTTCTTGGCCCCAATAACAATGCCAGATATTGGATTCATTTTGTGAAAAGGGACATAAATCTAATCAGAATGTGGTTGGTTACTCCCTTAATATTTTTGCCACTATTGCACCAGTGAGGCTGTGTTTCCAGGCCAGTTATTGTTGTAGCCAAAGGAGTTCACAGCTGGGTACTGTTGATGATTACCTTTATCTTCTGGTAGCATGAATAAGTCCTTCCAGCACTATGAGATAAAGCTTCAAGGTCAGTACAGTACCAGCTTGATTGCTCCTTGCTGGTTCTGTGGCTCATGTATATAGTGTCAAGTTCTGGCAGGTAACCATGAGCAATGTCCATAAACTAGTGTTGTTTGAGAGTCTGTGGGAGCCACCTGGTCAACAGTGCCAAAAGAAGGAGTCCATTCCTGGCACCGGGCTTTTTATTTGCTAGCCTGTGGTGTCTAATGGAGCATTTTCCTTCTGTTGTAGGGTAAGTCCATTTAAACTATTTTCATATTGTATATGTATATCTTATAGGAAGTTTCTACAGTAAAAGCCTTCCATATGACTTTTTCAAATGGCCTGTGTGTTAAAATTTGATCTTGCTAACCAAGTAGAAATCAATGTTTTGAAAACAAAGTAATTAGATGTAACCAACTTTTCTCTGTGTAACCTTAAATAGCTATTATTTTAACATCTCATGAAAACAAAGTTGGCCTTATAAGTAAGTGTAGCTCAGGGGCACAGCACAAGCTTAGCCTGTGTTACTTGGGTTCAATCTATAGTGCACACACCAAAAAAATTGCACTAAACATCCTTTGCTAACTGCATCCTTTTCCCTAAATATTTGACACCACAAATTGTGTCTGTGTGTCTATCTCTGTCTCTGTCTCTATGTCAGTATCTATCTCTGCTGTATCTGACACACACACACACACACACACACACACACACGACTTGCTTTTCACTAATTCTATGACAGTTTTCTCATTTTATGGGGCAAATGATAAGCATGTGCATCTGTTTAATACCATCCTCTCATCACTTTCTAAATTAAGAATTTTATTATGCAATAAGTATTTACTCTGGTTTGGAATTCTAAGTTCTTCAGTGCCCTTACTTTACCCTAACCATGTGCAATGTTGACATCAGAAGTAGGAAAGATCTTAGAATCATACAGCATTTAATTTCTTCTCATTCTTTTAAAGTAATGGGATAACAGAGTTTATTTTTGTAGAAGTACATGGGAGTAAAAGAATTATTTCTTGTCAGTACTTAAACTTCAATTCTCAGTTTCTTTTTTTCCTTAGAAATAGCATTTTATTTCTCAGAAACATTTTGTGCCATTTCCACTTGTTATGAGGAATTAATTAACTTAAAAAACGATAATAGTCCCCAGATTTTACTTCTGCACCCTGGGTTAAAAGTTGAAGCACTGAGACAGAGACAAGGAAACTTCATTAAATTTGCAGTTTAGACTCTGTCACAACGGCTGTTATTAGTCTGTCTCTTGTTACCATTATCTTTTATACTGTTTCAACACCTTCATACTGATAAACTCTAAATTTAGCCTTCTTTAAACTTAGAGGGACAGGTGATAAATCTTATCTTAATCACAAAATTTATTAAAATTGCTCTAATAAAATTTCCTCTTGAGAATCAAATCTCAAATGATCTGAAAGAGACTTTAAACATGTAACGCGTAGCTCAGGTACAGAGCTCTGTGTGCTTGTAGATTTACCTTGTTATATATGGCAGGTGCTTTTGAAGTAAATTCATCCTAGAATTAAACAGTTCAAATATAACTGCTTTTAGCAAAGTTGTACCTGGGAACTTGAGCCCTTTATTCTCAGTAGACTTAAGAAAAAATCTCAGCAAAAGTAGTAGCAGTGTGTAAATCATGATCAATTGAAAACTATTAATATTCTGTTCTCTGTGAAGTCTTCTTAAATCCAAAGATGTGTACAGGTTGGAGGTTAGATGTAGCCCACTTCAAGAGAAAGTACTGTCTTGAAAATTTATGATAATAGCCCATGGTAGTTGCTGTCGACTGTGAATGTTCTGGTATTTTCCTGATATTTTGTAGGAAAGCAAAGCAATTGGTGAGTTTTATTAGCTTTCTGTTTCATGCAGGAATCTACAACAGGAAATTTAAAGGATTATTAAGCATTAACTTACCCAAGGGAAGAAAAAAAAATCTAAATGTCTGAAACCTATTTAATATAAGAGTACAAACACAGCATGCAATGAGTGACTGTTGTGAGCTAAAATGTTTATGCAAGGCTTTCAAGCACAGAAAAAAAAAATAGTCCCACTACATCACCATTGAAATCTCCTCTAATCCTGAATGTCTCTCAGTAAGGGAAATAGCATTCTTTGATTCTTCTTTTTCCAGTGTAGAAGATGGAATTCTTTGTTAGATAGTAAGAAACCTAACTGCTAATTCTGTTACGCTTGCTTTTAAACCTGTTAGATAACAAATGTGAGCCCCAGCTTTCATACTTATGAATGTGATAACATTATGTCTAATTCGTAAAGTTGTTTGAGAATCATATGACATACAATATATACCACTTTGAAAATAGTAGAGTATTACCTTTATACTTATTAAGATTGTGTTAAACTATACCTCAATTTGATATAAAAATATATCACTTCACATACTAGCTATACTTTGGAAACAATTTGCCGTAATTGGATATAATAATATAGAAAAGTTGTGCTTGAAAAAAAATGGAAAAAAAAAGAAAAGTCATGCTTTTTTTCTGAAGTTATAACTATTGTCTGTAAATTGACAAAGAATCCCTGACACTGTCCCAGGCGGTCATAGCTTAGTAATGATTTTATTTATGATTTAGCTATTTGTAGATAATCTAATTATCTATAAATTAGGATTCTTACAAACAAATGGTAGACAGGAGAATAGCATCTAGGCATGGTAGCATGCCCATGCTCCTAGCTCTTGGAAAATTCAGGCAGGACGACCCTGGATTAGACACCTACATAGTGAGACTCCTTCTTAATGAAAGAAAAAAAAATTAAGTGGAAAATAGATAAAGAATTTGGTATAATTGGTATCTTAAGAAATGGGCTATTTTCTTGGAATATCACTATATTTTATATCTATTAGCCATAAGTTTTTATTATTTTTCAGTACGGAGTTAAGAAAACAATTCCTGTTTTCTAGAGATAAATCTACATGGGATAACAGAGAGAGAGAGAGAGAGAGAGAGAGAGTTTTTCACATTCAGTTAGCTGTTATATCCAGGTCAGTCTCTCAATTCTAGAACTATATTTTACTAAAGTGCATCTGAATGGATAGTTCAGTAATTCCAGTTCTTCCACATTTTATTTGAATTTGGAAGATATTTTTAGATATTAGCTTCAAAAGTTGACACGTGAGATGGGCATGACATACTTTCATCAGGGAATCTCTCATGGGTGCTGCCCATTATGTCTTTGAGCACTTATCATACATGGAATGCATCAACAGGAATTTTTTTAAATTGTGTCCAAGCGTATGGAAATAGTCTTCCAATGAGAGAATAAAAGAGTTATATAGCCCATTAATAAACTATTAATCACAAAAGAATAGCTCAGTATAACTGGGAGTGCCATTTTGTTTTCTTACCTGCAGACCATGAAAAACAGGTCCTTTTCTACAAATGGGATTGGATGAGGAGACAGCAGGTCATAGATATGTGCATTTACGATGTACTGATGCTGGAGTGAATATGTTCTCCCCTTTCCTCTCTCCACTTGAACTTGAAAAAGATGTTCTTACATAAATCATTTCATTTGGCCCTCCTACTGTTCTTAGGGGTTATTCACTAGTTGCTACTAGGTTTTACAAGTAGAGAAATTAGCACAGGGAGACATTATATAACTCAGTAAGGGGACCTACTTATGAGTGAAGGACCGAGCATGTGTATCAAGATTTCTCCAAGTCCAGCACTCATGGTCGATCTTTAAACCCTTATTGTTCTGAAATTGGGTAAATCAGTAGGTTTTTAGTCATAGACCCATTTTGTAATTCACCAGATTCTCTGTCTCCTTACCACCATTGTCCCCTCCATAGAGCAGCTATTTTATTAATATGAGGGATGGCCAGATAGGAGTTACTATTTTTGTGTAAAGCAAAATGAGATTATTAAATGATTTGAGGGAAAATATAATTTTTGAGAAAGATGGAAGGTTAAGAGTCATAATAGGTCTCTTCTACTTGAACATGCCATCTACTCTGATTTGTTCTCCGTCCGCATTTTTTATTTGTTTTTACAGCACTGGACATCGAACCCTGCCTTCAAGCCCAAATCTCCACCACAGACTAAATCTACAGCTCTTACACATGGGATTTTTAAAGCGTTTTCTAATTGCAAAATAAGAGCTCAGTATAACTAGATGAAGCTTTTGTTTTCTTATCCATTGTGTAAACTCTCAGTACCTTTCACTAAGCCACAACCTAGAAATTACACTCCTGGCTGTAAAGGAACTTGATTACAGGGAAAAACATATTAAATGAAGGCATCCTTCTTCCTGTACACGCACGATCTGTGTCTGGGAGGTTTGTGCTTTGAGAGTGTTGTTACATGAAAACCAACATGTTGGATGATTCCTCACGTTGATTGCTTAGGACTGTCCTCCGTTATGATCCTTTTCGATGGAACGTAGCTGCACATGAGATACCATTTCTTTTCTTCCTTGCTCACTCTTCCTTCTGCGCCGCTTCCGTGCTTGGAATCTTACATTGAATTATGCCTAGGATTTATATCCTGTTATATATAAAGTTCAACGTTCCATTAAATAAAAAGAGCCTAATGGCTAGTGTACCTAATGATATTATCCAGAGATAGGTCTGGCTAAACAGATTGCTTCTGTGCCATAAGAAATCTTAGTGTTCTAAAGTAAGTTGACAACTAGAAGTCTCAGTGTACTATGAAAGAATCGAAGGGCCACAGAAATCTAGAGAAGATACAGTGGAAAGTTTAAGAAGGAGGATTTAATTTTATTACTGTACTAGTATATTTTATTTAATGTTCAGATCCAAAATATAATCATTTCAACATATTATCAGCATTTAAAATAGTGATATTGGGGCCTGTGAAATGGCTCAGCAAGTAAAGATGCTTATTGCTGAGACTGAAGATCTGAGTTCAATCCCCAGAACCCACATAGTGTAAGGAGAGAGCTGACTCCTAAAAGTTGGCCTCAGACCTCCACACCTGTGCCAACCTCATGCCCATACACAATAAATGAATAATTTATACAAATTTTAAAAATAATAGTGACATTTTACTTTTATAAAACAGTCTTCAAGATCTGAAAATATTTGAGGTTAGAGAAATAGCTCAGTGGTTAAGGGCATTTGCTGGTCTTCCAGAGGTCCAACACCTATGTTGAGCAACTCATAACTGCATGTATCTCCAGTCCAGAGGATTTGGCCTCTGCAGGCACACACACCTCAATGTATGTTCACACAGACACATAAATAAAAATAATAAATTTTCTGGGGCTGGAAAGATGGCTCAGTGCTTAAGAACATAGGCTGTTCTTGCAGAAGACCTGGGTTTGAATCCCAGCTCCCACATAGCAGCTAACAACTGTCCATAACTCCAGTTCCAGGAGATCCAGTGCCCTTTTCTGTCTTCTGTGGGCATTGCACAACACGGGTGCACTCACATGCATGCAGGAAGTATACTCATATAAAATTTAAAAATAATAAAATATTTTTAAAAAATAATAAATCTTTAAAATACAAGCAGCTTATATTGTGTTCTCAGTAAGTAAAATGTGCCTAACTCCCAGAAGTAATGTTCACTTTTACAGAGAGGAGTGTCAAAGAAGGAGTCTTGAAAATCAAAGAAGAACCATCTAAAATTCTGTCTGGGAATAAGTTTCAAGACCGATACTTTGTTTTACGAGATGGACATCTTTTTCTTTACAAGGATCCAAAGGTAATTTTATAAGTAAGATCTGAGTACATACATTTTTATTTGTGTGGGTATTTACGTACTTGCAGGACACCTCTCAGCCATCTCTAAGACCATGCTTGTGGTAAGCTGGTGATTTCCTTTGGCCTCTCACATACAACTTCAGTGCACTCAGTAACTTAGTGGAGAACTTCCTGTGGCCTTTCCAAACACCTCAGGTGTTTTTTTTTTTTTTTAAGAAAGAAAATGACTTAAGCAATGAAGAAACATTTATTATGTGTTAGCATAAAATAGTGTGTAAATCAGCATCTTAGCCCATAAAATTCAGAGAGAATGTGTCATATCCCAAGGCAAAAAGAGCCTGAGACAGAGCTAATGAAAATCAATGAAAAGTGGCATAAAAGGGCAAAACTGAAAGTTGTCATGAATGTTAATAACTTCCCTGTACTTTTGAATAAATTCACCACCATGTCATATTTATTGGCACGGCTCTTACAGATTATTCCCTATAATTTTGAGTTTTATTAAAGAATGCACAATGGCAATAACTAGAGATTTAAAAGACAGGAATTGGATAACTGATATAGCCATAAGAGTATGGAATTTTGCATCAGGAAACTCAGCTCTGCTGAATTACTACTGTGAATAGGTAACTTAGCAGCTAAACCTCCATTCCCAAATGCAATGATGATAGTGTGAGTCCTACAGTCAGTTGTATTAGTGTTTAAACAAGAGTAAATGTAAAAGTACTTTTGAATCTTGAAACATTTCATAAATACATACTGTCTTAGTAGTGTGCTTATAAAGTTACCCCTAAGAATATGATTAAGTAAATCTCAAAATGAACATCTACATTAATGGCACATATATCCAAAAAGAAAAGACTCATTCACGATAGAACCCTTCCAAATCAACAAGACAACCAAATCAACATTTGGGTAGTAGACTCAACAGATATTATATGAAAGAAGCTGTAGAAATGACTAATAAATCATTGAACCAAAAGTGTTCAACATCATTAGTCATCACAACATCAAAACTAAAATATTAGTATACTATTTTACAAATGCCTTGGTATGATTAAAATCATGAGTGACAACTCCATGTGGACATGTATGTAAATTAACTGGAACTCACAAACGGTTAGTGGAGGGGTAAAATCCCAATATTTAATATTATGTTGGACTGCTTAACAGTTTGAAAATGAAGTTATTCATCAACCTTCCCATAATGACACAGAAATTCTATTCCTATTTGTTGTGTCCCCAAAACACTTGTAAGTAAATGATCATTAGCAGATTTATTCATGAAAACTAAAGCCTGAACATTCTAAATGATCATATGGGTATAACATCTCTTTCTTGAGATTTATCAGTACCAATACAGTGATAAGTCAACGGGCCCTGGAGATTACTTTTTTTAAGATAAGGTCTCCCTGTAGCCTCAGCTGGCCTGGAACTCGCTATGTATACCAGGCTGGCCTTGAGCTCAACAGAGATCTACCTGCCTCTGCCTACTAAGTGCTGGGATTAAGGGTACATGTCACCATGCCCAGCTAGAACGTGTATAACTTTTAAAGAACTACCCTACTCTAAGATAATTTATATAAACTAGTATTAAGTGATAATCTCACAATCTTGTCTGAAAAATAGTTTATAAGGACCCAGGGTGCATTTAATTTTAAATTATAGGGACCACAGTTATACAATCATATTCAAATTATTAAATGTTTAAAAATTTAATTCATCCAGCTCATACTGTAACTTGCACATTGAGGAGGCAGAGAGAGAGAGAGAGAGAGAGAGAGAGAGAGAGAGAGAGAGATTTTTAAGCTCAAAGGGCTGTTTTTTTCACTGCATGATTTTATTTTACTGGCCATTTTTTAATGCCACAGAACTTTTAATGTTGATAATGATGTCATTGCCAATGCTAACTTTCAAGTGATTGCTTATTAAATAATCTATAATAAAATACCTAGGCTTATTTGAGTAAAGATTTGGCTTTGGGGCAGTTTCTATTAATATATGTGTCCTTGTGCATATTTTAAAAATTATTTCCTGACAAGGAAATAGAAAGTACAAACTGAGAAGTGTATTTAAATCAACTGTTAATTAGAAATAATTTATGAATGTTCATTATCAAGAAATTAGGGTAATACACGGGGGAAAAGTTTTTTTGTTTTCACAGGTTTCTCTGCACACAAAATGTTAATTAAAATATGTTCAGATTTGATTTGCATAAAAGGTTAGAGGTTTCAAAGAATATTACCATTGCAGTGTTAATGGTGTGAAAAAAGGAAATGAGTCAGGGGGTTCCTTAACACTTGCATGCACTAATAAGCAAACTCCTTTTAGCTTGAATAATTTTCAAACACACTTATTTAATTGGCTCAGTAAAAATCTAGTATATTGAACTTTTTGGAGACATTCTCCAGGAATTAGACATACCGGAAGAGAGAGTTGTGTATGCCAGTAGTAGGTGGATCTTGCCCACTGAGGCTTACTTTCATAGACCATTCCATTAGGACCTTTACAGGTACTTGTTATACATACACGGTTTGAACGTTGAAACACACATTCAATCTCTTTTCCCAATTTTTGAGTGTCCTTCTAGTTATGTCATTAATATTCTATAAAGCAATGAGCTTGTGTATCAGGAGTAGCTGGGGTAATTCTATTGCTTTAGACTCTTTATTTGCTACCAGAAAGTCTTCAAACTGTAGCTAACTTGGACTTTTGTCTTGAACTTTCTATGTTCTGTATAAACAAATAGGCTGTCTACTTTGGGCATGGGTATTCTCAAACATACAAGTGCAATCCTTTCCAAACTGGCGAAATCACAGCCTCTCACCTTCTTTATAGCCATGGTTGATGCTGTGTCCCAAACACTAACTATCCAAACTACTGGTAAGGATGATCGTCTCAGTTGTAATCTCCTTTAAACTCTGATAAAAGTAACAGGAATCACCTCAAGCCATGCATGCCTAGTGACCAGCTCTCTACTCCTTGGATGTATCCTGTACTGCAGCAGTTAAATACCATGTCTCAGAATCACACCCAACATAGTTCAAATTATTAAAATGTTTGTTCTTTAAAATTAAACAAGGAACTAGAAAGCTGACTCAGTGGTTAAGAGCACTGCCTGCACTTATAGAGAACACCTACATGACAGCTAACAACTGTCCTTAACTCCAGTTCCAGGAGATCAGATGTCTTCTTCTGACCTCCATGGGCATTGTACACATGTGCTTCACTTACAGACATGTAGACAAAATACTTACAGACAGAAAATAAAAATAAGTCATGCCGGATGTGGTGGTACACATCTTTAATCCCAGAACTCAGAAGGTAGAGGCAGGCAGATGTCTGTGAGATCCAGGCCAGCCTGGTCTGGCATAGTGACTTCCAGGTCAGCTGGGACTACAAGGAGACCTGTCTTTAAAAAAAAAAATCCTAAATTAATAAATAAACTAATTAAACAATACTTAGCATGTCAGAAAATCGGTATATAAACTCAGTCCTCAGTTGTACTTTAAGGAAAAGAGGAATATTAAACTACTGCCGAATGGCCAGGCATGGTGGTGCACACCTTTAATAATCCCAGCACTCAGGAGGGAGAGGCAGGTGGAATTTCTGTGAGATTTCGGGAAGCCTGGTCTAAGTAGGGACTTGCAAGCCAGCTGAGGCTACAGAAAGATCCTGTCAATAATAATAATAATAATAAATAATTTTTTTAAAACTATTGGGCTGGGCATGGTGTCTCACACCTTTAATTCCAGCGCTTGGAAAGCAGAGGCAGGTGGATCTTTGTGTGTTCAAGGCCAGCCTGGTCTATATAGTGAGTTCCAAGACAGCTGGGGCTACAAGGAGACCCTGTCTCAAAAAAAAAAGACAAAAAAAGAAGAAAAGCTATTGCAAAATGGCCTTAAATATATAAAGCTTATTTGAAGGAAAGTACAGAACTTTACTGATAAAAATAAAGTTAACCTTACTGGTGCTGATTTCTAACTATATTGTAATTCTTCTCAGCTCATCAGAGTTATATTTTAGAACTGTGCAGAAGTGGTAGTTTATCTCAAAGAGAAAATGGCTAGAAATTCTAGCATTTGTTTTAGAGGGTATAAATGAAACAGTTGTGAGATATTTTCCCAACCATGAAGACATGCAATAAATCTGAAACAACTTAAGTAATATCATCTTAGAGTAAAAGAAAACACAGAGAACAGCGCCACAAAGTCAGGTGAAAGAGTTGCCTTTAAAATATGTCATGACAGACTCATGTATTATTTAGGGACATTTGTTAATTAAATTGGAGTGAGATAGTTGTCAATAAAAGTGTTCAATTTAAATTTTCACAAAGTATGTGACAAACCCCCCATTATTTGTCCCATGGAAAGAAGAATGTGTGATTTTAAAATGAAAGACCAAAGATAGAGAACCCGACTTTGATGAGGGAGAAGCAGCAGCAGCCACAGTCCTGAAAGATTCGATGAACTGCTTCTTTCTCGTCTTTCACCTTGGAGGCTTATGAAGAGGCCCAAATATCTTGTGCTTAAACTGAGTGATGCTACTTGAAAAGAAAAGCAAGGAGATTGCAAATCACTCTTATGCACAGGCCTGGGATAATCTATGGTACAGCTGATGGATTCATTTGGGTATTAGGGTGATTTCCAGTTCCTGAACCCTACCCTGTTGTTGACCTCCATCAAGCAATTTGACATGTTCATGAAGGCATAAGCCGTAGAATAAAATGTACCGGGAAGAATCCTGAAATCACTTTCCAACAGCACCGCAGTGTTAATGCACAGTGAAGCAGCATTACCCCATCAGCCTTGGAGGGCTGCCTCACCTGTCCTACACTCAGTGGCCTGGCCTCGTCCAATTTATAAAAGGCCTTTTAAATATAGGAATCCAGTTGCTGGCTTCATTAGAAGACACCAAATAAGTTTGGCAGTGTAGTCTGTGGTCAGACAAGGTCAGTACCACAAAGGACTAGAAGGAAAAAATGTAGGACCTTGAAAATTTTTCTCACTTATATTTAGATATAAAATGTATATATTCCAGGTTGATAATTAAAACTTTTAAAATAGTAGCTATTAAAATTATAAGACCTTGAAAGTGAGTTTTTAGCAGCTTTATTTCAATTAAACAAAAGTTTATAATGTCCACGACTGGTGAAGTTGCACATACCTATAATCTTAGCATTTGAGTAGTCGAGGCAGAAAGATCGAGGTCAGTCCTTGGCTGCATAGTAAGTTGGAGTTTAAAACCGGCCTGGGCTACATGAGAGCCTCCTTTTAAAAAAAAGTATATTTGATTTCACAAAAATAAACTAAACAATAAGCAAAATTAAGGCAAACAGCGATTAGAATTGAATATTCAAAAGGGGCCTTATTTCTACTTTAATATATCAGGAACTAATGTGAAGAGACAAGCAAAGGCATGTATACAGGGTTGTAGATGACAGGTTTGTGTAAATTAGCTTAGTAAAAAATAATTTTATTCATAATTTATGCTTCTGCTACCAGAATTCCAGCCATGAGGGGTAATTAGTTAATGAAATATATACATATATGTGTGTATTTTATATGTGTGTGTATATCCACACATATGTATACATTTCATTAACTAATATATATACATATATATTAATATATATACATATAATATATAATATACACATAATATATATAGACATACACAGAGACACACACAGACACAGACACACACATATATATGTATCATCAATGATAATAGCAATCTGTGCAGGTAGTGATTACGTGTAACTTCTCCATGTAAATCCCAGGCCTTAGTCACTGTCAGAGACCACTGATCAGCAAGGCCTTATTCCTTATCTCCTTCTGGTTACACTGTCTATGTTTCCTCTGTATTCATCCCTCTTTGCTTCATGGAAATCAGATTTCAACTTTATACATGCAGGTCCCACCTTTTACTTTTCAAATCTGACTGGTGTTATAAAGAAATGACACCAAAGTGGTATTTAACATATAGAACCTGATACTAGTCACGGTGAATATTTGAGCTTTGTGTTTTCCCTGGAATCCTAGCATACTGCTACACTGAAATTTCTATTATATGCTCTGTGTTTACAGTAGCTATTTCCTATAAGCTTATTTTATGCCAGTTATTGAACTAAAACTTGATAGGTAATTTTTGTGTAATCTTTACAATAACCCTTCACAATAGCACTTTGCTTGCACATTTAATTTTCTCAGTGGTCTAAATGGTCAATATCTTTACTATCTATCCACATACAAGAAAATGAAAGTTGAGAGAAATAATGTGAAAGTGAAAAATTGCAAGAAACAAACCAAATAATACTAGGGTCTTTCTGGCTCCAGACCCTTTGCTCTTGGTTATAAATGCTGTCTGCCTACCACTTTAAAATAGTTTCCTTGAGAATTTTTAGGATATGGACAATGTTGAGTTATAAATTATTTTCATTGATATTATCTTCTTAAAATTAATTATTGGTATCCTATGATAAATAATAGATGTGGTTTTTTTATCAAGTCCAAATTAGAGCAAAATTCAACTTCTCCACTGTCAGAGAGCTAAACTGTGAGAAAAATACATCCCGAGAGCTTTCAGTTTTTGTTTTTTTTTTCAGTATTTAAGCACAGATAAGTATGTTAAGAGGGTTATGGCGAGAGTATCTAATTATAAATTCTTTTTTTAATATTGTATTTTAACAAGTTTATGGTAATTTTCATCAACATGACTTAGGACATTTTAGTATGTACCCCTGCATGTTTATGGTAGGTTTTCCCTAACTGTGAAATCCATAATGAAAAAAATAAAAGTTGTTTCTTTTAGTGACAGAATTGACCAAACCAACATGACTATCTACACCCTGGATTTATTTAGCTCATATGTGAGAGTTCATCATTTTTCTATTTAAATGTATTTATTTGTTCATATTATAATCAAATCAGTCTTTTATCTGCTAACGCTTGGTAGAAGAGTCATAAACATTGAAAAAAACAAAAATTATGAATACTTTTTTTAATATTCAGTAACATACTAGAAAATTTATAAAATCTACTTAATTACAAATCATTTTCTTCCCTTGCAGAGCAGCAAATATGATAAAATGTTTTCTCTCAGCTTAATGAAGTTTTATCTTGGTGTTAAAAAGAAAATGAAGCCTCCAACAAGGTAAAGTCTGAAAGGAAGGGGCTCTGAAAGGGAAGGAGTGGGAGCTGAGTCTGTTGAAGGATGTGGGGATGAGCACCCATTAGTCTAAGTTTCTGTAGTTCTCAGAAGTTGCTTCATCTCTGCCCAGAGTTCTAGGAAAGATTGAAGGGCTTAGTGAGTAGTTTAGATTGGGTGATATTCCTGAGGGTAAGGTCAAGTGCTGCTGACTGCTCTCTCCCCAGGAGAAGGTAGGGAGTCCCTAGGAGACCTCGCTGGAAGGATACGGTCTCCTTGGCCTCCTGTTTCTTGTTAGGACATAGTACTGCCTGGGGTGTAGGGAATGGTCCAAACACACCTGCCCTCAGCCCACTCATGGGAAACCAGTGCTGCCCCTGAGCCTCCTGACTCTTGACTTGTAGATGTTTTCTTCCTGGCTCAGTAATTTGATCAAATTTGGAAGTAACCCAAATGGACAGCATAGAAATGGCTCAAAGAACATGGCCCATCTTAAATGCTCTGTGCCTTTTTGATACTTGATTCACCCCAGCATTCCATTTATACCACGGTTTCTTATCATACTTACTTTGATTAGCAGAATAAGTCTCATTATTATATAATATCCCACAGCACTGTTTAATGTCTGTTCTTACTTCTCAGATTCCATTACTGAAAGTTTTCCTTACCTTTGCTTTCATATTTAACTTCTAAATCTAAAACTTACACATTTATTACGCAGATACGCACATATACAACTGATTTTAGCCATTTTTATAGATATTTGTCCTTAATACTATAGCAAAGTACCTGAGGCAGGCTGCTTATGGTAGCACAGAGACTTACTGATTTATCAAATAAATTAATGAAATTAATTATTTAATTAATACTTTATTTATTTATAAACAATATATTCAGTTCTGTCAAGGGGCCCTTGTCTCAGCTGTCACTTCATGGCAGATGACAGTGGCAGGAATGTGTGCATGTGCCCAGCTGGGTGGGGCTAGGACCATGCTTTTATTTAAGGACTTGGACAGTAAATACCAAGGGGTTATATGAGAACTACTTCAGTCCCTTCCAAGATCATGCCCCCACCCCATAAACTAAGGACTGCCCAAGAGCCCCTACCTCATCAAAGTTCCTTGACTCCACTGAGGACAAAGTTTTGAACACGGAACCATTGAATAAACCACATCCAAATCACAGCATTCAGTCACATGTGTCTTTTTAGAGGTTTCCTAACATTTCAAGACTCCTTCCCTGTCTCCCTTCATCCTGTTTGAATTTGTAGACAAGTCCACTAACATCTAATATTCACCGTTCAGTAACTGATACCTATTGAGTTACCATATGTGAAAATCAGTTCCCTTATGCATACTCACCATTAAATCATATCTCTTTAATCCTTGTTTCAATCTTGTAAATTATTTTAACATATTCCTTGTGTTTCTCTCTGTATGGTGCAGTTGGGGATTGACCGCATATTCTGAAAAACATCATTGGTAAGTTAATAACTAGCAGCTTTTGGACTTTATTTAATGTTGACAACTTTGACTAAAAAATGACTTCCCAGCAGAGCAGAACCATGGACAGGCAGAAGATAAACTCATGCTGGCTTCAGTCAGTTACGTTCTTAGGTCCTCTTTGCCAGTGTGTCTTTAAAGAAACGATATCATCTGGTTTTTTTGTTGTTGTTGTTGTTTTTTCAATAGAAAGTAGATGGCTATGGAATTCAGCTTTTACAAGATAAATAGTCAGAACTTAGTTTTCGAAGAAATATAGGCACTGGCTAAAATTGGATTTTAAAAAATAGCCTGGCTTCAAGCACAATCTTTCCCTGCATACTTTTCCATCCTGCCAGTCCCTCAGGTTGCACTGAATGGCTGCTCCTCCCTGACCTGCCTGTGCCTAACCAGCCTCTAAGGCATATTAGGTCAACCTCTTCCTATCCCTTCATCCAACCAACCCCTGTATCCTAGGGGCCAGGCCTTCCTGAGCTGCCTGAATTATGGCAGATGTCTCTGCCCTCTACAGTTCCTGCCCTGCCTTTGTTTCCACCGTGCTCCTACCCAGCCACCGCTGACCTCTCCCCAGGGACCGTGCTTCTCTGCTCCTTTAACATTTTTCTGTGACTCTTGTCACAGGACATCCTGCAAGATTGTTGCCTTGCCTTGCAAGCTGTGTGAAACATGACATGGTCAGCTTCCCCACTAGTTTCCTGTACTTAAGGGTAGACTAGACATCCATCTTTGCTATGCTGTTTCATACCTACCTGTATGTGACACATGGTCCCTTTACTGACCCCCTCTTACATGGTAAGTGCTGCTCCAGTGCTCTTGACTTCCATCTTCTCCCTCATCAGCCCCCAAGCTCAACTGTCATTCTTTCAAGCCACAGCCTCAGCAGCTAGTTCTCTCCTATTGTCTTTATTGTTTTGCATTTACAATATTTTGCATACAAAATTTTACTTTTTCCCCTCATGGTAATGAGAAAAGACCATGTCTTCGTAAGCTAATGAAGGAAGAAAGCAAGATTTAGAAATTTTATTTTTCAAATAAATTATTTTTGCTAATCCAGAACTCCGAAGAGTATAGTTACATTTAAATGTACATTATTCCATGCTAATATTAGGTGCAAAACTTGCCTCTTTTTTAAAAGAATATTTTATTATTTTTATTTTTTGTATATGTGTGTATTGCCTGCATGTAGGTAAGTGCACCTGTATCGTGCAATGCCTGCGGAGGACAGAAGAGGCCATCAGATCCCTTGGGACTGGAGTTACCGACAGATAGCTGCCATGTGGGTGCTGGGATTCAAACCCGGGTCTTCTGTAAGAAGAGTCAGTGTTCTTAACCGCTGAGCCATTTCTCCAGCCCCAAAAACTTGCCCTTTTTTTGGAACAGCCTCTTCTCACCCTCCACTTTCCCTTTACCTCAATCTGCCGTTTCTGTTTTTGGCCTATTTACCTTTTGCTTTCTCTTGCTATGTTGCAATTTATTTGTTTACCAGCCCAGTTTCCCTAATAGACTATGCAGACCTTGAGGGCAAGAGCTGTGTTATTTAGGTTTCAGTAAAATGTTACTGAATGAGTTTTATTGGGCACATTGTGGTTTTTATCTCTCACTGTAGTGAGACCATGACTAAGCCATTTTTAAGAATGTCACCGGGTGGGTGTGGGTATATATTCTACTGAGCATCTCGGAAGGAGAGCCTTTACTACCATTTGCCTGAAGACATGAAATAACAGTGCCTTTCAAAATACTGCTGACCATTGTTCAGCATATTCACAAGCTGTGTGGATAATGTTTACTTCCCAGAACACTGAAACCACTTCAACTGGAGTATTCTGTTCCTGATTGCATTAAACAACAGATTTGTAAATTCAGAGATACTGCTGATTACTAAATTACCATGCACAGTATAAAAGCGTCATTGTCTTCTTTCAAGTATTTATCATATAAACCTTCTTTTTGTAGGCACCTGTGTTGTGATAGTTTACAAACTCAGATGGAGTGGATGGCCAGTATCTTTATTGCCCAGGTATGGTTTCTGTTTTGAATATTTAGTTGATTGTTAACAAATCTGTTTATAGGAAATGACATGCATAATTTTCAAATAATTTTGATAAGGTTTTAAGTGGGCATAAGTGACCTAAACATTCACTAACATGTGTTTTACACATAAATGAAAATCCAAATCTATACATTGTCCTTTTAGAGAAGAGAATGTCCTGAGTGTATGGGCTTCTTTCTTCCTTCCTTCCTTCCTTCCTTCCTTCCTTCCTTCCTTCCTAGTCAAACACTCAGTTTTATTCCATTGAATCTCCAATGCCATTGACAGGAAGATTTGCTGTTGCTTTTTTTTTTTTTAACTTTTACAAAAACTTTATTGAGAATTTCATACATGCATATAAGGTGTCTTGATCAAATCCATGTCCACTCCCTCCGCTCCAACATTCCCCCCCCCCTCTGAAGAGGTAACCCTAAAATCTTTTAAGGGTTAGATTCAAGCTCCATAATACTTTTTGATATTTTTGGCCTTTGGAACAGAGTATGTTGTTAACAGGACAAAGGACATTTTGACTTTTAGCCAAGAAACATGCTACATTTCTTTGGGGTCTTTTTACCCTAACTGCCTAGCCAGTTCCTACCTCCTATTCTTATCACGTGATCCTCTGAAGGGGCTACCCAAATTGTCAATGGGGAATAGGGACGCAGACCGCTCTGGCTTCTTCCATGCTGAACAGGGGCACAAGGTGAGACAATTGGAGTACTCTTCAAGTGGATCTATCTAAAAGACTCCCAAATTGCATAACTCTTGTCTCTAAGGGGAGAAGAAAGTCCTTGAATCATGAATAGGAGATGTGAAGAAGTAAAGGCAAGAGTAATTAGCATTACAAGTTCTAGACAGGGAACCAGAAAAGTCAGAACGGGGCAATTTTTAAATGTTCATATGAGAGTCCATTGCTTGGCACTCCTTTAATGAATGAACACAACCGTCAGCAAGCCCAATTGTGACTATGTTTAGTGATCAGGCTCAGCAGAAGTTGTGATAATGGTAATTATTTCATGCAGAAGGGACTGCTGTATAGCATCATCTTACTAAAAGGACCTGGAATTTAAAAGGATTTGGTGCTAGGAACCACATATGAGGGAGAAAATATGTCATTTATTTTTCTGAGTCTGTGTTACTTCACTTAGTATAACAGTTTCTAGATCCATCCATTTACCTGCAAATTTCATTATTTCATTTTTCTTTACTGCTGAATAGAACTCCATTGTGTAAATATGGGCTTCTTTTTTCTGCCAGCCACTGGCTTTCTGGCTTAGAAGATATGTGTCTGTTAAGATGGTAGCATAAGAAACTTGGATGGATGTTCTAATTGGTGTTACAGTCAAGAAGTACTTTTTATTCTTTGAGTTTCAACATCAGGGTCTACTGACTTCAGTTATGAAAACAAAAACCTTGACTAAGCTGTCAGTGTTCTAGATGGCTCAGAGATCTTCATGTAGAAATGTAGTTTCCTCTCTGATCTTCTAACTCTTTCCAGAAGCAAGAACAGGAACATGCAGTTATTTGATAGCTGTTGTATGTGGGGCACTTCATAAGAATCAACTGTTGTTTCCCTTAAAATGTGACAGAACATTGGTTTTCTCAAGACTGTTCGTTTAACTAGTATACACTCAGTGTTCACTGAGGCCAATGCTACACTGGGTTTCCCAGTCTTCTCCCTGGTGAAGGACTCTTTTAAGGAAGGGTTAAATTGTCCTATTAACTGAATTGGTTTCTTTCCCAACCTTACCCAGCAGAACTGCCAGCTCCTCTTCTTACAGAGCATTGAAATTCATTGGTAACAATCAGGTTGCCACTCTGCTCTGTGCAGGTCCTTTTCTCTTATTCTTACTGTTTTGAAAAGCATTTTCTCTGTTGATTTAATTTATTAATATTTTCAGTGGTTAACAGGCATGGCACTTTTCAGCCTCCACCCCTCACTCCTCTGTCCTATCTACTAATTTAGAATACATGTGTAAAAGAAAAAAAATCGCTAACTTTTGAGTCATTTCTTCATTTTGAAAATTCAGATAGTCATACTATACTTTTAAAAAATACATTGTATATGTGAAGTATTTTGTTAAGGTTGGGAGCATGTAGTCAAAACCCACCGTAATATCTATTTACAGCACAATTAAACTGATATATATATATAATTGAAGTCAGTAGACCTGATGTTGAAACTTAAAGAATAAAAAGTACTTCTCCATTGTAACACCAATTAGAACATCCATGCAATCAGTTGTTCTGTGTGTGCCTCTTCCACTATAATGAAAACTCCATGAGAAGGACTCTGTCTTACTTGATGCATGCAGATCTGCCCCATGGGAGCCCATTGCCTTTTCCAAAGTATGTACTTTCCACAATAGGAAACTAGGGCAGAAGATAAGTAATAGATGAGTTCTAAAATAGACATCAGTATGGTAAGATAAAGTAGATGTCATTGGAAGAAGAGATATGGAGTAGGCACAGAGGAGAAAGTTCTCAGGACATGAGTTTCTAAGAAGGTGGCAGGTGCACCAAGACCTGTCTGTAAAGGAGGAGCTGGAGCCTCAAGGTATCCAGGAGGCCTCATCCTATGGATGGGAGCAGCAGCTCCAAGTCCTGAGGTATTACCATGACCTGATTTATTCCAGAAGCATCCTAAAGCTGTGTGACAGAAGATGCAAGATTCAAGGAAGGAATGTGAGCTATAGTTAAGAATTCAAAACAGGGGGCTGGAGAGATGGCTCAGCAGTTAAGAGCACTGAGCGCTCTTGCAGAGGACCGGAGTTTGATTCCCAGCACCCACATGCGGCTACAAACCATCCTTATCTCCAGTGTCAGGGGAATCCAAAGCCCTTTTCTGACCTCAGCACCCACATGCGGCTATAAACCATCCTTATCTCCAGTGTCAGGGGAATCCAAAGCCCTTTTCTGACCTCTGTGGCATTTCACAACAGGGGTGCACTCACATACATGCAGGCAATACACTCATACACATAAAATAAAAATAACAATAAAAAAATTCCAGACATAATAGTTTAGTTTAAAAAGAAAAATAAATAAATAGAAGAATTCAGAATAGGAAAGGATGTAATCTCAGTATCTTTATTTAGAAAAATTATTGTGGTCACTTTGTTGAGATTGTACTGTAGGGGTTCAAAGAGGGAAGCAGGAAAAACATCCATGCAAAAGATGTCTGTTCAGACTGAGGTGTGATGGTGGGCAAGATAGTAAAATTGAGAAGTATTTTGGAAGCAGAATTAGAAATCAAAGAACTAGACAGTTGGCAGTTATACCTTATTGGGGTGGGGAGTTACTAGAGATAGAGGAGAAAGCTGGGAGTTCTGTTTAGGTCACATGGAATTGAGATGTCTGTTTGGTACACCAGTGAATGTGCTGAGTTGGATTTTTTAAATTTTATTGAGCTTTTGTGCATTTCATACAACAGTTCTTAATCAAATTTAGACCCCCTCCCCATCCATTTCCCACTGCAAACTAGATCTCATAGTCCACCATACATGTTAAGTCCCAGATAATCCTTCTGTACAAATTCATCCACTGGAGTCTAGTCAGCCTATCTAGAGATCATTGATAAGGACTACTCTCCCTCACCCAGTAGTGATCAGTCTCCAGTAGTTCCAAGACTAGGGCCAACCTGCCGCTCATTTTCCCTTGCTCCATTATGGGTCCTTGTCTAATTGAGTTGGCATGGGTCTTGTGCTTAATGCCACAAGTTTGCATGTGCAAGCTTCCAGTGGTCTGAAGGCCTCTGCTTCCATTCCCAGACTAGGGCCAACCTGCCACTCATTTTCCCTTGCTCCATTATGGGTCCTTGTCTGATTGAGTTGGCATGGGTCTTGTGCTTAATGCCACCATTGCCACAAGTTTGCATGTGCAAGCTTCCAGTGGTCTGAAGGCCTCTGCTTCCCCATGTTCATGAACCAGCCCTGGCTCTTACAGTCTTTCTCCCCTACCCCTCTTCCACAATGGTCCTTGAGTCTTGGGTGAAAGAGGTTTGACATAGGAGTCCTGTCCAGGGATATATATCTGTAGTCTCTTACTCATTAAAACTTGGCCAGTTATGGCCTTTTGTGTGCATCATACTGTGTTAGATAAGGAAGTTTCACTGGTGAGAGTTGAGGGATACACTAGTTTTTCTCTCAATCCCCCCCACCTTCCGCTATGTTCCATGACTCTTAGGCGTAGAGGTTCAACTGCAGCTATGTCACCTAGGACTGGGCATCTCTCAGACATATATTTTCTGTGTCTGACCAGTTGTGGGATTCTGCCTCTATCTTTTCCAAAAAGAAGCTTCTTTGATGAGTGATATACAGTATACCTATATAAATATAAGAATCCATATTTAGCATATGGTAAGAAATTTCATTTTTCCAGAGATATGACAGAGATACAGTTTTATCTAGGATCTATGACATTTCCATTCATGTATTTTTGTGTATTTGACTGTGTTTACAGTGTCACCCATGAGTCCACTCCCACTGAGAGGTCTTTAAGTCCAATTAGATAGCTGTTGTTTACCCCCCAGATAACAGTGACACTTCTCTACCAATAGAAGTAGTTCACTGTGCTGGTTGTTGTGGTTATTAGGCCTTAGGCCTGGGTTGGACCATTGATTGATTTTTCTCCTTTAGCAGCTTGCCTAGTATCCTCCAGAACTACGAGAGCTAAATATCAGGTAGAAGCCTTCCAGGTCAGTTCCTGTTCCTGCTCCATTGCTCCAAGTCCTGTGCCTGAAGCATGTCCTGTCTTCAGCAGTAGGGTCTTATTTTCCAGTTCTGAGAGATAACCAAGAGCTCTGGCAATAGTCTGTGTTATTTTGGGAGTCTCTTGGACCACTCTGACCAACCACTCAAAGGGAGTTCTCTTCTGTCTGGCACTGTGTTAACTTGCCATACAGCCCCCAGGTATACATATGCACTAATGTTCAGGCACTGTACATGCATTTCTCAGGGGTTTCCCTCTGGATTCCCTAGCCCACCCCC